CCCGGGTCGGCTTGGGGAAAGCAACTGGGCTCGGTTTGCCGATGTTGAAAGACAGACACGATCTGCCCATCAAACAAGATGTCAGAATCAAAGACTAAGATCTGCCCTACACGTTCATGCTTTGTTTTTGCAAAGTGCTGACTCCTTCCCCAGATGCGGACAATAGCCAAGATTTGCAGCGTTGCCTCAGTACCAAAAATGAGGATCCCAAGACTTGGGGAGGGGCTCTCTTCATCTGCCAAGCTGCTGTGGTCCATCGGTAAGTAGAAAAAGTCGAAGTCGGACTGACGGAGCTTGCAGGGTTGTATGAGTCAATAAGGATATGGATAAGTTGATGAGTCTAGTTGATGAGTGAATGAGTTCTAGTGCACTTCCCCTTGATTTGGGTGTGTATTTAAATCGGGAGACCGCCAACCAATGGCCTTTGGTCTATCTTCCTTCTTCCAAGGGGCCTTTGGAAGGTCTCCCTATATTGTAACACGTGTATGGCAATCAAACATGGAGAGACTCTAAAGATCTCGGGTCCAGGAAGCCCATGTGATGCAAAACAAAACACCGCGCATCTCCGCGTACCGTACCGCCTGCACTCGAAAGCCCGCATCAGCCAGCTCATCCAGCAGCATTTGTTGTCGATACCTGAGCGGACGAGCAGCTTACGCCGAATCGACCGGCCGCACGTCAAAACGAAACGGGTGGAACCGCCCATCCGCGCGGTCGCCAACGGTCGCGGCGCCAGGGGGGCTCTTCCCGAAAGATCGGGAACCCGATCGACCATGCGAGGGGTTCTTCTTCGTCCCAACGCTTAGATAGACGTACACCAGCTACTTTGCCATTCTTCACAGTCTAGCCTTGAACTGAAGTTGCCCCCCCCTCCCCACACAAAAAACATCAAAAAACAAAAACAAACACAAAGAATCTCTTGAGATGCACACTTGTTCGGCAGGTTCCGCATCATCACGGTGGTGACATCATTCCAAGGCGGCTCCTGCACCCCCGGCGGCTCGCGATCCGCGGAAAGACTCGGTGGAACAGTCTCTGGAGGTCAACAGGCTCGTCCTTGCTGGTGATGTCGTTATTTTTCAAGGCGTTGATGCCCTTAGTGGCGGATAGTGGCGGGAAGATGGAGCGAGCTTCGCTCGGTCATCCCATTTGAGGTCATGTAGGCTAATGCCAAAGCCAAGTCGAGTGACAGTCAACAGATTTGGGTTCATGTCTGCACGAGCTGGGGGTGATGCCTGACCGCTTCGGGACACCTTGCCTTGTTCTCGCACCTCCAAAGTGTATGTTTCTCATCCAATAACACACTCGGCGAGCACACAGTGGAACAACTGGCCTGTCGAGGCACGTAGGGTGGAGGTGAAGCCTGATCAGCATCATGACAAGGCAGTGAGTGGCAGGACCCTCAACAACCTTCCACATCTCAACCTCCTAGAAGATCCACTTGACACATCTTGGTACCCTGCATCAAAGCCAGGTGATTGAGGAATGGCACCGGGCGGTACGGCCGTCACCTGTGGCCTCAGGATTTACTGAATCACCGGTCAGGCTGGTCAGGCACGGAATTGTGGCTCCAGTCGGACAGGTGCTGACAGGAGCGCTTGAGTCGTTCCAAAGCTGAAAGGATCTGAAGATAGACAAGAACACACAAGAATGGTAAACCAATGTAAACGTTAAAGAACTCCCGATCATTAGCTCCTCTCTGCTCCTTTCTTTCACAAGACGGGGCGGACACCACAGTGAACAGGTCATACCGAAGGAGTCTTTTGGGCAGATCCATCGGACCTGGTCACCTCTATTCCAAGCGGACCTGAGTCTTGTGGAAATCAACAGCTCCTGATTGGCCGCACGTCGTCTCCGAGGGGCCCAGGATTGGTCGAGGAAGTGGAGGGTGGAGCCATCGAGAAAGGCAAGGGGGGCATCTCCTCAGGAACCTCGGTCGCGAGAACAAGAAGAGCGCCTAAAAAAGAGCTCTTGTGGAACCTAGAACTGGGAGAATCTAGCACAGTTGTGCATGAATCGATTGGAAACGTATGTATAAAGCTCTCTCTCTCTCTCTCTCTCTGCAATATGTGTGGCTTTTCTCCTTTCATCCTGAAATGCATCACAAAGCACTGTCTCTATGAACGCTGAAGTGAATTCGTGGTTCTTACGCTACCAGGGCTGCCGGAGCGACCTCGGCACTCTCATCTTGATCCTCCTACCGGGGCTGGCGGTGAAAAGCGAAGCTCTTCCACTTGCGAATGGAAGCGAAGCTCTTCCAGTCTGAGCCTCGTCTGCCTCATTTGGACTGGTGTAGATCTTTACCTTGGCTGGTTGGCGCTTCCGACATGCGCACGCAGGAAGGACATTCAGGGCAGTCGAGGTCATGGCGGGCTCTGACAGCTGCCGTCGCCTCAAAGCAACAGGTCAACAGGAACCTGCCTTAACCTGTTCCAACCTGCCCTGTGCTGATGATCTATAAATCCTACGATTTTCTCCTCAAACAGCCCTTTACAAAGCATCCAACAAGCCAAAAGGCAGGGAGACACTGAACTATATGGCAGGTTCGTCTTGACTATCTAAACTACACGTATTGAGTGTACGCTCGGCACATCATCCCTGTCACTGAGACTGGAGCCAATCATGGAGAGATGGTATGTGATCTCCGACCTTGGTTGAACCAACGACAGCCGCCAGGCGCCCATGAGATCGCCTATCCGATAGTCCCATCCAAAAACAGCTCAGCCGGGCAAACAGCCCTCTCTCATCTCTGAAAGCTAGGCCTCCAAGAATGTATTCTTGATCACCACACCAGCCTTTGAGTGCGCCTAGGCGGAACCGAAGATCGAGCAGAAAGTTTGCGATGTCCGGAAAGGCAACAAGTACATGCCGCCCTCTTGGTGGCTACTCAAGCAAAGGGGCTGTCCAATGCTGGCTAGCGAGATGGCAAAGCATTCAAATCGACTGTCGGACCAATTCCATGCGCAAACAACATGTTGACCCTGCATGGGTGAACTGGTGACCTTGCAAATGGGGTATGTCCATTGGACTAGAGAGAATGGTGGCGCCCCCAACCACTACCGGATCTGTCATGATGTCGCTTCCGATTTTGGACCAACAGGAGGTCGCGAATACGTCGTTTGTTTTTTCCGTTCGATGTCGCCGTGGATCTCGATGTCTTGGTGATGATCCGTGGACATCCGTGGGTGTTGTTTAACAGATTTTGTGCGGATGTGCGATGATCTGTCTTCAGTAGCCATTGATACAAATGGATCGACACCATCAGTGGCTTCCTACAATGGAAAACGTGGAGCTCAAGGCAAGATTGCAAGCTACACAGTTGCTTGGTTGTTTGATGTTGGTCCATAATAATGATGTTTTGTAAGGCTCAACTATCTAACCCCTATGATGACTGAATTTGTCCAGAAGCCTGAAGTAGTCGAACGAACTAAATATCATTCGACAAACTGTTGGCAGCACCCACTTCATGAAGGGGTTGAAATGGTTGTTCAACATCTTGAAATATTGCAATATAGATCTTGTACAGTATATGACAACTCGCAGGCTTATGCATGACAGCTCTCTGCACATCTTGAAACGCCGGCTCACAAAGAAGTGGCTTTGCCCTGCGAAAACGTCTGACTGAGGCATCAGACCATGGCGGGCTTCACAGCGGCTCCGAAAAAATGGGCCACCGGAGCGGCTGGACGCCTCAGTCGGCGGATTTTCCCACGTGGCCCATCCCATGATCCTCCCGCCGGCCGTTGGTGTTCTGTGTGGAAAGAAGAGGGATGGATCGGAATTGGGAGAAAAGCCAGAAAGTGTTGCTTTGCTGGAAAACATCCTTTTATTCCCTTGAGAACGCGGTCTTCATTGACCTAAGTTACCAGGATGTCAAACCTTCCCAATCCCCCACTGCATAACCCCACGAATTCAGTGGACAGCTATATAAGAAAGGGATGCCATGTACTCATAGTTGGGTACAATCTTGAAGACAAGACACAATGTTGATCATGTTTGAAAGGTGTTCAAGCAGAGATTTGGAGGATTGCGGAGAAAGCACAAAAGCACGGAAAAGATGATGGTGGCTGCTTTCATGTGACAAGAAACTGCCGATGTCTTCCTTAGCTGATAGATAGAGTCCTTCAAAGCATCTACTCAGGAAAATCCTCAAGTGTTGCCCATCTTTTGGAGCCCAGAAAACAAGAGAATTGATTGTGGTTCTTAGAAAATAGAGGGGGGGTGTCCACGCGTCTTGGATATCCTTTCTTATCTCTGATTTGACAAAACTGGTCAATGGTTCTTCCTGCTTTCTGGCAAAAAGAGAGTCCTGACATCATGCCCCACCCGAAGCTGAGAGTCCGACAACTGGCTATTTCACACCTAAGGTGTCCTCTACTGCAGAATCTACTTGGGTTGCAGCTGCGGGTCACGAAACATGTATCATCTCACAAATTCACTTTCAGATCTTGCATCAATCCACTGACCCTTCTCAAACACATGGAAACACTTCATTCGGTCATTTTCTCCCGTGATGTGCTGCATCCGGCCACCGCCCCAGCGAGCGCACAGCTCACGAGCTCTCCTGAAAAGACGACATGTGCCAACAAACTATTTATAGTATTCTCAAATGTATTAAAAACATATTATTCATACTATCTCGATGTATCGCGATAATCTGCGTAACAAAGAATGATTTGCTGAGCAAGCTGAAAAAGGCCTGGGATGCAAATGCAAAGCATCCCGCTAGGTTTGCACAAGTTCAATCAGTGCCGCACTATGGTGGCTTCGCATGCTAACAGCAACAACAGCTGAGCAAACAGCCACTTTTGGGCAATGATCTCGAGAAAGACTGACTCTGTTGGCCAGTTTTCGCGGTCTCGGTATTCCTGATTCAGATTCCCCGGCCATCTGCATTGGTCGGAAATCATGGAAAATCACATACCCTGAACCACAATGTTGTTTTTGACAATGTCTTGGGCGTGATCGATTAAGTGGTCAACTTCACAATCAAAACATGATCAAACAGGGCAGGTGAATTGGGACACTCGAAAGGCCTGCTTTCTCACTTTCACCTCAATTTTCTGCATGAGCATCACATTGTTCAACCACATTGGGATCGGTGCGAGCCAGCTCTGCCAAAAAGCCACAGCCTGTTTCTCAACCTCATTGCGGTGGTTGGTAAAGCACTGGGTCATTGAAAATATGGCAACCGGGTCACTACCGCAAGCGGCCGTCAATGGTGCGCAACCCAGTCCGTACTGTAGCTTCTCCCAGCTGCATTCACGCCAATTGTCCCAAAACTCTCCATAGCCCTTGGGGCAAGTCACGCAATTAGGACCTGGACCATATGGAAAGGGCTTGCAGCACTGTTGAGTGCCTTCATCAACGGTCTTGCTTCCCAGAGATGACATGCGTGCTTTGAAAGCCTCAGTTGAGCGGTTGTAAACGTACTTGGCATAGCACATTGAATAGGTCCCGAAGACATAGAGATTGCCTTTCGTCTGGTAGGTTGAGCTACCTAGAAGATTTGTCATCACACTGATGTGCAAAGAGGCAAACTGGGAGAGATACGCACCAGCAGTGGTTTGCAGCGAATGATTGGTCAGAAAAAGACTCATGTCGCCAACCATTTGATTGTGAACTTGGTATATGTCCTCAAACATCCTCGTCCTGACCTTGTCAGGCATATCTTTGATTGTGCCATTATCAAAATGCGTGGAGTCTCTGTATGCAGTTGCATTCAAAGCCCATAAACGGTTCTGGTAGCCTTTAATCGTTGCTTCCCACAGCTCTTCAAAGGTTTGGTCGATCTTCAGGTCAACAAACTCCTCCACAAAGGGCTTCACCTGTTCCCAAACACATCTTCCCCAGTTCTCAGTGGCATAGGTGCATGGGTTGGTTGGCAGGCCTCCTGCACTAGGGAAGAAGGCCCCAAGGAATCCATTCATGAGAGTGAAGGCTACACTGCCTGCCACTCCCATGACTTGCGTCGACCGGAGAATGTCATTGATGGTTGAGATGGCTGTAGAGGCCGCAATCCGCCCCGCGCTCATCCCGTAGGCCGCACCCGGATGTTGTTTCTGATACTCGACCACGTTGGTAGTGCAACTAGCAGGAGGACTGCAGGATGAAGCTGAAGCAGAAGCTGTTGCATCACTCGATTCGCGAATGAGGTCCACATTGATGACTCCCAAGCTAAGATGGCCACCTTCACAAACGGTTCTCAACTGAGAATAGATCTCATCCAACTCTGGGTGAATAGGGTAGTGGCTTGGAGTGGGCCAATCCTTTTCCATCGTCTCCTTCAGGCTGCAGGCCAACTCCTTGGCTTCGCAAGCAAGGTCTTCAGGATCGCAACTGAGAGCCTTCTCTGAGACCAACCTAGAGCTTTTGTTGATCTGCAACCATGCAGTATCTGTGTCCTCCTCAGAAACCGCAAGGTATTTCTCAGCCTGCATTCGAAGAAACACACAAAGAACCAAGAAGGCGCAACGCAAGGCTTCGCATATTTAAAGTAAACTGAATTGGATTGGTCAGAGTTTCAGTTCATCTTCCTTCTACATCTTTCGGCCTTGCCGGAATTTAAGGTAAGCCAACAAAGGCAAGCATATGCAAAAATGAATATTGTTTTAGAATGGGCACATTGACATGTTGTTTGAGTATGACCGGCATCAAAAACAAACGCGGAAGAACAAAAAAACAAACGACGCCAGTCAAGCTTAAGCTCATACCATGCATCCCCTCAAGCCTTGCATGAGTCAGCCAGGCTGCAAGCCAGGTTTAGAAGGCAGAAGGTCACGCAGAGCGCTTCATGGTAGGTCACCATGTGCCAACGAAGCCGAACTAAGCCAGGAGAAATCCCTTCATGCCCTTCAGGCCAAAGCTACGACCATGAGAGCTACGACCTTTGGGACCCAGTCCTACGAGTCCTCGTCGAGTGACGAGTGTCCTACGACCTGAATCCCCAAACAACGCGTTTCCTTCAAATGTTGAATCCATGTTAGTCAGGCACCATGTTACCGGATCAAAAAGAGAAAACAACATGTGGTTCGCAAGGCCAGTGAAGAACATTGATCGAGGCCTTGCACGGAAAGGGATCTCTTGAGGCTGCCACCTCTTTTGCTTCTGCAGGACCTCGAAAGAACCAGATCACATCTTGAGAAGCGCTTGAACAGGGTTCCTTAAGTTTCCAATTGTCTCGCGATACTCAATATGCAGCAAATTAACGCATGTGACATCTATGACGTTCAGTTGCACCGGAGGCATCTCACGTGAACTGACCGACTCTGCAACGATTTCCCGCGAGACAGGCGTGGTGAAGGCATATGAACGAAGCCCGGGGACGCTAGCGGGGACAAGACAGACCGTCGCCTTCATCGTTCCACCCTGGACCGAGAATCCGCACCTCGTAGCTCAATGACATCCACCTGGCTTTCATTTAAAGTGAAAAACTTCGGTCAGGGCAGTCTTCAAATGGATGTGGCAACACAAAGGACCCCCACAAGCACCCTCGTCGGGGTGAAGGGAATCCACATGTTGAATCAGCCTTGGAGACACACCATAACCAGCCAAAGCAGCGAAGGGTTTGCCAGGATTCTGATGGTCGGTGGCACGCTCATCGGAGAGCTCCCACTTTTGACAGTGAAGCTATTTGCCCGTTACTAGACACTATAAGCGAGCCAGCTTGGCTGATCGCAATGAATGAGAAGGTTGCCTCGCCGGTGAGAGAATCTCCGATTCATGTCTGTTTTTTCAAGACCACTATCAGACGATCAATTTAACAAAGGTGCTTCCAAAGATGCTATACAGGTGTCTTCGGTGTCTTCGATCAAATTCTTGGACTTTGGGTTCTCAGCCTCTTTTCTTTTTGGGGGCAAAGGGTCTGGAAAATGTGCGGGCAGGGTAGACCATGCGACACCTTTGGGTCTTCGGTTTGGAAACCTTCGACGCTCCGCGTGTCCTATCCAATGACTCAGATGATAATTGGTAAAAAGCGCGTCCAGCCTGGGTTGGTTGCAAAGAGAGGCAAAAGGCATCCGACTCCATCTCCTATCGGTGGTCCAACCAAAAAAGGTAGAATAATGGCGGAGAGTATCACAGCAAGGTTGAATGCATACGTTGGAGCTCTTCTCAGCAGGAAAGTCCACTTGAAGTTAATGTCACGTTCACATCCTCAAGATCGCTTTCACGTTTACAGGCTGGAAGTGCAAAAAAACACAAGTCTGAGCCTCATCTGCCTTAAGTGGATTGGTGAGATTAGACCTGGGCCGGCTCAGTCTTGATCGAATCAAAAACAGCCGAGTCAAGCAATCAATGAGCCGCAACACTCACATTCTGTGTAAATTGTACGACGTTGTGATACCTTGTGGCCTTTGTGATGCATGCAAATGTACGAAATGTAGAATCAGCTGCTGTTTGCACATTTGGATCTGCCAAACACTTCTTGCTGCATCGAGAGCAGCGAAGGGCTCTCCAGAGGCATTGCTGGCATTGCTTCCGTGAAGATCTGGGACGAATCTGAGATCTTTCAGAATGACATGTTCGAACTATGACCTGAAAGGGCTCGACCCCCTTTCTGTGTATATTTGATGGCTCAAAAGGACTTGACATCGGTTGTCGAACTGTTCAGCGTGTGTGCACGCTGGGGTAGCCAAACAAGAACACTATCGACTATCGGTCCAAAGATGATCGCAACAAGTTTATTCACAACCTTGGAGTGTGCTCCAGCAGAGGATTAACTACCAGAAGACACACCAAGTCGTTCTTTTCGGGTAGAAAAACAAACGGCAACAACAGCTGAGCAAACAGCCACTTTTTGGCAATGATCTCGAGAAAGACTGACTCTGTTGGCCAGTTTTCGCAGTCTCGGTATTCCTGATTCAGATTCCCCGGCCATCTGCATTGGTCGGAAATCATGGAAAATCACATACCCTGAACCACAATGTTGTTTTTGACTAAGTGGTCAACTTGACAATCGAAACATTATCAAACAGGGCAGGTGAATTGGGACATTCGAAAGGCCTGCTTTCTCACTTTCACCTCAATCTTCTGCATGAGCATCACATTGTTCAACCACATTGGGATCGGTGCGAGCCAGCTCTGCCAAAAAGCCACAGCCTGTTTCTCAACCTCATTGCGGTGGTTGGTAAAGCACTGGGTCATTGAAAATATGGCAACCGGGTCACTACCGCAAGCGGCCGTCAATGGTGCGCAACCCAGTCCGTACTGTAGCTTCTCCCAGCTGCATTCACGCCAATTGTCCCAAAACTCTCCATAGCCCTTGGGGCACATCACGCAATCAGGACCTGGACCATAAGGAAAAAGGTTGCAGCACTTTTGAGTACCTTCATCAACTGTCTTGCTTCCCAGAGATGACATGCGTGCTTTGAAAGCCTCAGTTGAGCGGTTGTAAACGTACTTGGCATAGCACATTGAATAGGTCCCGAAGACATAGAGATTGCCTTTCGTCTGGTAGGTTGAGCTACCTAGAAGATTTGTCATCACACTGATGTGCAAAGAGGCAAACTGGGAGAGATACGCGCCAGCAGTGGTTTGCAGCGAATGATTGGTCAGAAAAAGACTCATGTCGCCAACCATTTGATTGTGAACTTGGTACATGTCCGCAAACATCCTCTTCCTAACCTTGTAAGGCATATGTTTGATTGTGCCATTGTTAAAATGCGTGGAGTCTCTGTATGCAGTTGCATTCAGAGCCCATAACCGGTTCTGGTAGCCTTTAATCGTTGCTTCCCACAGCTCTTCAAAGGTTTGGTCGATCTTCAGGTCAACAAACTCCTCCACAAAGGGCTTCACCTGTTCCCAAACACATCTTCCCCAGTTCTTTGTGGCATAGGTGCATGGGTTGGTTGGCAGGCCTCCTGCACTAGGAAAGAAGGCTCCAAGGAATCCATTCATGAGAGTGAAGGCTACACTGCCTGCCACTCCCATGACTTTCGTTGACCGGAGAATGTCATTGATGGTTGAAATGGCTGTAGAGGCTGCAATCCGCCCCGCGCTCATCCCGTAAGCTGCACCCGGATGTTGTTTCTGATACTCGACCACGTTGGTAGTGCAACTATCAGCAGGACTGCAGGATGAAGCTGAAGCTGAAGGTTTCGCATCACTCGGTTCGCGAATGTGGTCGACATTGGCGAGTGCCAAGCTAACATTACCACCTTCACAAACAGTGCTCAATTGAAACACGATCTTATCCAACTCTGGGTGGATAGGGTAGCTTCGAGTCGGCCAATCCCGTTCCATCAAGTACCTCAGGCTGCAGGCTAACTCCTTGGCTTCGCAAGCAAGGTCTTCAGGATCACAACTGAGAGCCTTCTCTGAGACCAGCCTAGAGCTTTTGTTGATCTGCAACCATGCTGTATCTGTGTCCTCCTCAGAAACCGCAAGGCATTTCTCAGCCTGCATTCGAAGAAACACGCAAAGAACCAAGAAGGCGCAACGCAAGGCTTTGCAAATTTAAAGTAAACTGAATGACTCGTTAAGAACTTACAACTGGATTCGTCAGAGTTTCAGTTCATCTTCCTTCTACATCTTTCGGCCTTGCCGGAATTTAAGGTAAGCCAACAAATGCAAAAATATGCAAACATGAATAGTGTTTTAGAATGCACACATGTTGTTTGAGTACGACCAGCATCAAAAACAAACGACACCAGTCAAGCTTAAGCTCATACCATGAATCCCCTCAAGCCTTGCATGAGTCAGCCAGGCTGCAAGCCAGGTTTAGAAGGCAGAAGGTCACGCAGAGCGCTTCATGGTAGGTCACCATGTGCCAACCAAGCCGAACTAAGCCAGGAGAAATCCCTTCAGGCCAAAGCTGCAAAGACCGTTGGTAATGGCTGCCTATTGGTTGCTTTTGCAATGGCAGTATCGACTAGCTCAATCCAGTTGAATGATACAAATCATCTTAATTCCCCACATGCTGAATCGCTTTCCGGGAACACAAGAATCCTGATCGATGTTCAGCACAATCGTGCGCCCTGAATGCCATTTGCAACAGCTGACCAAGCAAAAGAATGATGCCCATGCTCTCTCCCAAACTGAAGCAACTAAGCTCCTCAAAGGAGCTTAAACTAAGTTGTTATAGCTATAATGATTCATATTAAATTCTAATGAAGTTTAATTCTTTGTTTCTAATGGCTTCTTGTTACTAGTAAGGCCAGGAGCCCCTAGTAGCGTCCTTGCTCCTAGTAGCGATGCCCTTTGCTCCGTTCGTAGCGTCATGAGGAAATGCTTGGGATGCATATAACTCCTGAACTCGGTGCATCTCAACTATCTCAATTTCTGGCGGGGTGTAAAGGTCTGTTTTTCCAGTGGTGAGAACAAGTCATGCAAGTTTCAATAAGGCACCAAAATCCCTGAGTGCTTGATCAACGAAGGGCAGTCCCTTGGCCTTAGGAAATCTTGCATCCCACTTCCCTTCCCAACTGGGCAAGTCGTTGCACATCGGGCCTTGATCACACCCGAAGAGCTGCAGCCAGAACAGAGACCAGCTTCTCCACGCACTTGTTTCGGACGTCCGTCTGCAAGCCTTGGAGTGGCACCAGGCTCCGGCAAAAAAAACACGGACAGTTGACAGTTGGTGCAATACCTTTTGGTTTCACAGCCGTGAAGAAAAGGAAGACGCACATGGCAAAAAACGACAAGGCAGACCTACAAGAGCCCATGCCAGAAGGTCCTGGGAGCCCACCAATCGTTTGTTCTTTCTTGTGACGTGGATCGGTGACCAACACAAACGTTCACTCCAAGAGACACAGCATCGGCCGCTTCTGGTTCACCCTCATGCTCACAGTGTCCTGTTAAAGAGTTTTCTTGCAAAGAAAATCAACTCCGGTCGCGTTTCTGTTTAAATGTCGAAATATATGAATTATATATATCTCCGATTGCTTGTCCCTCTTCATGCAAGGTTCAACAGGGCAGCAAAATATGTTCAAGTCACACGCATGCACACGCGTGTATCAAACATGTTAGGACAGCAGTTGCTTGGAGTCCTATGCGGCCAATATGACCTTCTGCTCCAAGGAAACACCATGGAGGCCTTCCGAGCGGATCCGTTGGAGATGGTCCAGCAGCACCTTGGGCAACCGAATCTGAAACGAAAGGATGGAGAAAGTGAAACCAGTGGTCCAAAAAGCATAGAGTCTCGAAATTGGCTGGAAAGGCTAGTAGTGGCAACTAGTCAGTTCCTTTTTTCCAACTCTGGCAATCCGACTTCAGCTTCTAAAAGGATTGCCAGAGTTTGCTGGGACAGCAGGTGCTTGAGGTGCGCTTGCAAATGGATTCTTCGACGCGCTTCCACTCTTCAGACCTGAGGCCACAGTTGTAGCCTTGGAATATGCAGCAGAAGCTCCCTGTCCGATCTTCTCAGTCACTCCATACTTCTGGTTCACATCACGAGCAGCAGCGACAGAAGCTCGGGCCGCATTCATGGCTCGCGAGCTGACTTGATGTTCTTGCTCAAATTCCTTCGTCCTGGTGACCGCTGTGGAAACGCCTTGTCCTATCTTCTGGGTCACTCCATACTTTTGGTTCGCTTCCCTCACTGCTTCCACTGATGACATTGTAGCTTGAGCAGCTCTTTGGGTCAAGTGGTGCTTCTGCTCAAACTCCATGGTCTTTTTGGCAGCTGTCATGGCACCCTGGCCGGCAGCTGAGCACGCACCCTTTGCCATGTTGAGGAATTGAGTCTGAGTCTGAGAACCAGGCTCTCCATTGGCCAAGCGATCGTTTTCTCCGTTCGTTTTCTCCACTTCGCCCATCACCTTGGTCTCAGTCCTGTCCTTCTCCTCAAAGGCTGCAGAGAAGGCCATGCTTCCCTCACGAGCCTTGGGGCTCATCTTCTCGAACCTCGCGAAGGGATTCGAGGCCTTGGCTTTCGCCGGACCGAAGGGATTCATCGCTCCTCCTTGTGGTCCAGGCACTGATGTTGACATCGGCACCTTCTCCGGCTCTACAATGCCTGGCGGATCAAGTGTTTCGGTTTGAGATGTCGACCTCGCTCTTGTCACGCTTTCTGGGCTCAGTTTGCTTTGAACTTCAGGATCTGACTCCATCAGCACCTCCAGCAGCCTGGACGATTGGTGGAGTACTCCTGTCCACCTCTCCGAAGCAATCAAGGCATTCAAACACTCGTCCACGCGGCGCTTTCGCACGGGGCTGGTCTTGCGAAGCTTCAGTAAGAAAAGCCAAACATCTTCGATGCCAGCCTCCGTGATGGAGGGAACCTCAAGACTCTCCTCCTTGGCCGACTTTAAGCAGGCTCTTCGAAGAAGTTCAAAAATTGTCTCCTAAGTTGGGCCGTGGGTCAGAGGATTGGCCACCCAAATGTGCAAAAAGTCCAGATGGGAGTAAGAGTGCAGAGTCGAAACAGTGACAAAAAGGTGCTTTAAACAAGTTGTAAAATCAGCACAAAAATATACAGGTCAGTCTCCCTTTTGTTCTCCATTGATCTGCTGTTTCGCAGAAGCTCGGAGACTTCCGCAACTAGCTGAGGCAAGGAATGATCCATGTTCTCAGCTGTCCATGGCAAAAGAAGCCCTTACAGGCCAAAGATCTCTGGAGTTTCTATGTTGAGTGTTCCTCTTCTTGCTAAGAATGGGCACTTAGGAATTGATGTAGCTGTTGTTCAGTTTGTTAGCGTTTTGGCAACTGACCATACCACTGTGAATAATCGACGATCAACGGTTCGCTGTGATGGGCATCATATGTTTTCCTATGCGCAACCGTGCGACCTGTCATGCTTGAGTTACAAAAGCCTTCATTCGGCAACAAAAGGGTTTTCGCAACCTCAAGCGCTCCAAGAGAATCTGTGTGCATCTCGTTCTGCAGCATCAATCTCGGCATGATAAACATCTGAACAGACTTCGACCTGTCTTGCGCCCGGCACCTTGAAGGATGGGCTGCTGAGCAAGGCCCACAAGGGCTCCACCAGCTGAAGGGATGCGTCGACCAGATAAAAGGCTGCGGCCGGATGAGGCCTGCCGGGAGTCGGCGTGGGGTCAGTGGTTCGATCCGGCTCAAAAGAACATCCCTCTGTAAACATGGAAGAACAACTGGTTCAGACTCCTTCTCCAAACAATGGCCAGTCGAGCTGAACTGTTTTGGCAAACAATCAACATCTCAAGATCCAGAAGCCAAAGCTTTGCCTGCATGGAATTCAACAGCTTGGCCAAAAAAGTTCTCCGTGTCAATTCAACCTCCGCACTTCTTTCGCCGCCTTTTCCGTCGGAAAATCATCACATTAACTCTCTCAAAGGTATGCTCTGCATCCTTTTTGACGAATCAACATGAGTCATCATGGCATGATGCTGAATCAACAAATACGACACAAATTTTACATGACACCATTCTATTCATCCATCAGGGTCTTCGCTGGCCGAGTGTGGAGGAATCTGAATTTGTCCCACGTATTTGAACCCAGCAAAAGATACCAAGTCTATGTTGTATCACATGTATCACTCTGTCAGCACCATGTCTAAAACGCCAATGGATGACCTCCAATCCCCCGTCAACTCCCAGGTTGACACTGCAGGAATCGTATCCCTCTGATCTTTCCCCGACCCAGCACACGCGGTGTGGTGAAACGTCCAGTGCATTGACTGGCTGAGCTAAATAGATGCGTCTGAGAGTGATGGTGATACCTTGCAAGCGCTGCAGAGCTATCTTTGGATGTGTCGAAATATGACAAGACTTGACAAAACATAACACATGATAAAGCTGAATAAGGATATCTCTTGAGGCTGCCACCTCCTTTGCTTCTGCAGGACCTCGGACCACATGTTGAGAGGCGCTTGAGGAGGGCTTCTGTGCTTGCGCTTGTCTCGCGGTACTCCCTCAAAATCAATATGCAGCAAATGGATGCATAACTAGAAGCACCTGGAACAAAAATTGATGTTTCGGTCCAATTTGCCCGGGGGAATTCGCAGATTTAGGGCAATCCGGAGGTATTTTCGCGGCCAAAATTCAACTTAGCCTTCCCAAAGCCATCACCACTGCCTGCCTAACACTGGCCAGGCTGTCTCTTCCATGATTGCATGCCGCATATCGTTCCGCAAGGACATAGTTTCGCATCTCAAGATCTCGCACCCTCCCCCCACCAATGCCGATGTTGACACTTCTTGATTCATGAAGTTCACAAAAAGGCTGCAACAGATATGTTCAAGCCCTTCGAAAGCACTGTTATTGAATTCCGCCTTTTGCCAGGAAATGTCCACCTTTTCCTGGGTATTACCACATGTTTCCCGGGAATTTATGCCTGTTTCCTGCCTTTTTCCCACACAGTTTTGCACCTTCCACTTGGGAGTGCTTTTACACTGTGTGTTCATTCCGCACAAGAAACCTTCAAATGCAAAAACACACATTGTGTATATATATATATATGTGTGATATGATATGAAGGTAGCCAGATTTGCATGTGGAGGTGGAAACTTGAGTGTCGCCATTCTTACTGTATTTTTCTCATTGAGGTGACCATTTCAGTAAGAAATGCCTGATGCAAACCAAAAATGATGTTCAAAGCCTCTTGAATATACTCTTTGTCTCACTAGATTCCTGAAAGGGAACATTTCTGAAAATTTGCGGCAGTAAAAACATTTCCGCGGCAAAATTGTTCATTTCCGCCTCAGGATCAGAAGAGCCACTTTTCCCGAAAAAAAGGCAAGCATGTTTGCCGAAAGGATCTTCTAGGTCTGACATTTTATGAGTCAGTCTATGACTTTCACTTGCAGCGTAGGCATTCTCCAACAAAGAACACGACCTCGCAAGCAAATCAGCTACCCACTCGCCACTGGCGATGCACCCACCGGGATCAGGAGCTCTCCTGTGACAGGACACTCCGGCTCAACCCGACGTTGGAGTCGTATGCCAAGTAGAGGAACCGCACTGCGACGTTGCAGTCGCGCTTACCACACAAAGGATCCTAGTCGCGATGGCCTCCCACTAGCGATGGCCTCCACCCCTGCCAAGCTCCTGAATGTTCACTCCCGGGTGATTGCAACATATCCGACGGACACCTCAGGTGAACGCTCCGTGCGCGACCGGAAGAGACCGACCGGGACGGACCGCTGAGCTGGCCGCTTGGGGGTCGGAGACGGTTCCCTCCGAACGATGAGCACCTCCGAGTCCCACCAGCGGAGGGGAATGGAAAAGGCACGCGGAGAATCCCAAAAGCAAACACCCCCAAAACATGGTATACGTAGTATACTGGTAGTATGGTAGATACACCCAGGTAGACGATTCTCTTAGTGTCATGGGTGTTGACAGAACCACGGAATGGCATCAAACATGGCATCCTGACCATTTGCTATTTGGGATGGATGTGTTTCATTTGTGGCACAACAGAGAATCTTGATTTCCAGACCATCGTCTTTCATCTTCTTGCCAGCCAAATGGAAAGAACACGTTAGGGCTGGACCGAGTATCTGCACCTCGTATCCATGCTCAATGACATCCACCTGCATCTGCTTTCGTTCAGTGAAAAATCATACAGGGCAGTCTTCAGATTGGATGTGTCAAGACAAAGGACCCCCACGAGCACCCTAGTAGATTGAGTAAGCAAACAAGCCTCGGGGTGCATGTTGAATCAGTCTTGGTGACATGCCAGAACCAGCCAAAGCAACGAAGGGACTTTCCAAACTGTTCCCCGCCACTCGATCTTTCTTTTGCTGCTTCTGATCGTTGGTGGCACGCTCATCGGAGAGCTCCCTTTTGACAGTGAAGCTGTTTACACGTTACCAAACACTAAGCGAGCCAGTTTGGCTGATCGCGATGAACGATCATCAGAAGGTTGCCTCGGTGAGATCATCTCCGATATGCCTGTCTTTCACGACCGCTATCACTTCAAAACAAGCTTGATTCCAAAGATGCTAAGACATGCTAAGCTGCTAAGACACTCTTCGATCAAATCCTTGTATCCTTGTATCCTCCCATGCACTCCACCCACGAGAGCGGACGATCGGACCGCCGCGCGGCGCTGTCTTGGGCCAAGGTGCGGATAGAACTTGAGCGTCCGTTGGTTCAGCGGCGAGGCCGCCTCGCGTCCGTCGCGTCCGTCGCCGCGGCTGGCGAGCGACCTTCAACCACCAAGACATGACGACCGCCTGGGTCCGCGCCAAGGTAGAAGCAACCTAGTGGGAAAGACAGAAGACACATGGATACACACAGAATTAGCAGGAGGGAGGAATGAAAAATGAGGCTGTGAGTATTTTTTTGTGCTCAGCCTCTTTCTCAAAGGAGGGGCGATGCTGCTCCAGAAAGTCGGCCTGAAAGCAGCAAGTGTCTTTGACAAACCTGTTGGTTTGGGAAGGTATGCCTTGTGCCTGGCTTACCACATGACATGGTCTGCACCCACTTTCACCCAGAGGTCTTTTCGACAGCCGAGGTGCGCAGTTTCTGGTTTGTGCACGATCGACAAAAGCAGGGCGGTGAGCCCAAACAGCATGTCGAAACCATATCGGTTCGGCCCGGATGATCCTGGCACTTTGCCTTTTTGTTCCGCACTCGAGGTCTCGTCATGCCGAGCGCGAAGCACTTCACACAAGGCTCTGACGTTTTTCTAACAAAGGATCGATGATGCCACCTGCCTGAAGTTGACGTCCAAAGCCGCGCAAGAATTCCAAGTCCTTGGGGACCCAGTGGAACCGACGACCAGTCGGGAACCGCCGTGAACTCACTCACCCGACGGGCATTCCCGAAGAAGATCATCATGGTGCGGATTTGGTACAACAAATGGAGGCACCGTTCTAGTGGCCCTGACTATTGCCCTTCCCCTTATTTCCCACCGTGCACATCAAGACTTACAAAACGGTGCAGCTTGCCTGCATACCTGCTTTGGGAATTAGGAATGTGTTTGTGATGATTTGACAATTTGAGCACATGCCCTGGGAAAGAAAGACAGTGACTGAACAGTTCGGACTACAAAGATAATGTCTCAAACTCAAATTGATGACCAGTTCAAAATATTCATTGCATCACAGTATCCTGTGCCAGTTCCTCAACATAGAAATCATTGTACAACTATTATGTCTGTATTGCACATGTATGTGTCAGGAGCCTTGAACATCTACAAACACCCTTGTTTACAACAAAAAGAAGCGACCCAGAAAATACACTTGACACTTTTCTCCGCAATAAAGGACGCAAAACGAACTCCTCTCACCTCCGCACATGTAAGTACAACAAAATCAACAAAATGATATATCAAAACACAACCTATTTCCCTATACAAACAACGCTGACTTTGATTCACTACACAATTCGCTGTCTCCAATGTCGCAAGACCAAGACTATGTGGGTTTTACACACGCAAACAAAAGAAACGTCCCCAAAACGGATTGACCAATCAGCTGTGCTTCCACTTCTCGTGGCTTGGGGCCCGAGGTTCCAAAAGGCAGCAGAGGCTCATCCAGGAATCGGCGGAAGGCAGACCTCCAGTCGCTTGGTGTGCAAGCTGTAAGTCCATCGAAATGTAAGGATTGCATCCGTTCGAAGGGCCAGGCGCTCACAGCATCTACGAAGTCTCGCAAGGCTTTGGCATCGCGTTCTCCACGATTGAGGACTAAGGCCTGTAGGATTGGTGGAACCAAAACACCCCCAGACACCGCCTCAAAGGCCTCTTGCCAGTCTTCCCGGTAGTTCCAGGGCAGAAGACCACCCCAACCGAGTTCCGGGGCTTTGGACTTCTGGGCATCCTGAATTGCTTCACCGATGCTTTGCACATCAATCGCCCCAGACTGGAAGAAGAGCGAGAAGATCACAATCCTCTGCCATCCCCGCTGCAAAGCCCTCACATCTGACTCCAAAGGCTCCAGTGGACCGTCTCTTGCATGGAACAGCAACGGCCTGGAGAACCCAGCGGCCCGACTGGCCGGCAGATGGTCTGCCGGCAAGTAAAAGATGCCCCCCCCCCCCAGAAGATGCATGTCTGACACATTCAACCCACAAAAGTAGATCTATCGTTGGTCTATTTGTGGGTTGACACGCCTTTAGAATAGGATTAAAGTATTGAGCTGAACCAAATGTAATGCCGGACCCCATGGTTTTTGGATCTTCGGCATTCACCATGCTTTGACTCATCTGCCTGGGATCTTCTTGCAAGATGGCTGGCGGCGACGCTGGAATTGAGATCAACAAATCTGTCAGCAGCAACAAACGGAGCCGCGGCACATAGAAGGCGACCTCGCAAAAGGCGCCGGTGGAGGGATCCTTCCCCACTGGGCCGAGCACCTAAGGGGAAGGATCGGCAGTGGCATTCGTCCAAAAGACGTTGACTCCCAAAGAAGACAGACAAAGACTTGTGTGAGTCTAAAAGAATGCAGGTAGATCACTACCAGTTGATTGTGTCAAGTCAAATGAGGAAAATGCCACTCATTTGACACATTTGACTGCTAAGGTCAATAAATAGTCTCATGTGTTTCAGGCCGCTGTTTGGTTTTTCCTTTCTCCCACCTTGTGTTCAAGCTCAGAGCCCCATGGCAAATCCGCGCCCTCACTCGTTTTGGGCAGTTCACGAAGGCGCGTTAAGGGAAAGCCGAGGAATTCCAGCGGCAGCGGAAAAGGTACAGAATATTGACCGGGCGCATACCAGACTTCAGCCTCTGGAAGCTGCCGCGCCAAAGGTCCAGCAAAGGTCTTGTGCTCTACCGCCACGGTGGGAAGGATCAAGAAACGCACCGTGCCATAGGACGCTTCTAAACCACGCAGAATGGAGATACACTCGCCAGTTGGTGCCACTGCACCATAGACCAAGAGGCCTCCAGCTTCTAATCGAAGAACTGTCATGCGAATGGGCACATGCACGTAAAGCAAGCCCAGCTTCTGCTCAAGTCCCCAGAGCTTTCCTGGGATATACTCTGCTAGTATCGTTCGGCGTCGTTCATATGGAGCCACAGGAAGTGCAGGCCACAAATCCCAACGAGACTCTGGAGGCACCTCCGGAGGTAGCAGTGATGGTCCGGATGCCCGTCGTGCTGATCGGTCTGGGCTTCGTCCACGGCCGTTCACGAAGTCCAAGCAAACAAATCCGACCGCGAAACAAACGACACCGCAGACCACCCAGGGGTGGAAAGAACTCGCCCGAGAAGAGGATCTGCGAACCATGGCCAGGCAACTTGGCGCACAAAGCGTTGCGCGGACAAACACGATAGAAGCATCATGAAGCATATAAAAGCTCTTCAAGAGATGCTCAGGAAAGTGGGAAAAAATGCAAAAAAAAAGCGGTCTCTAGATTCTGGATCACTCACATGGCATCCAACAAAAACGCATCTGGCGTCCATGTTCGAATGTCGAGGGATATCTCGAAGCCAAACTGCGACAATCGAAAGATCCCTAGTAGGGTCCTTTCTTGCAACAATTGATAACGACAATATCAGTACAACAATTGTCTTTCGAACCATCCCCCTCGCTTGTTTAAAACCATGCGTAACAGGAATATGTCTGGTTCCCCTCCATCCAACCTTCGACTTCGCAGTCTCTGTGGACTCGCTGGAAGGCCTGCGATCTTAGAGGTGAAAACGGATTCAATGATGAGATCATCTCTTGGGAAATCTTCACCTACAACCACTTTGGGATTAGTCCTCAAGCTTCAGCTGTGAGACTAGCACCTGAATGCCTTTCCTCTCAGAAGTGGATTGCGCATCTGCTCGTCTTCCAGGCCTCTTCTTCTTCAGTGGAAGTATTGCCTGGCAAGATTGTCATGTCCAGCTTCTATCTTCGGAGCACAAGGAGCAGAACAAATTGTGCTCAGGTTCCCACAACGGCTTCTGACTTCGGCAAGTCAGCTGGTCCTGCATCCAAACTGCTAAGCACAAGGACCTTTTTGAGTTATGCAATCTCATGCAATCTCCGTCCTTCAAAGGCCACTGAAGGGAGAGGAGCCTGAGTATCATGGCCTACCACACTGCCTGGCCATGAACAAGTATCTTGGGCTTGCTGAAGGAACCTGAAAGCAAGTATTATATACGTATATTCCCTGATTGCCTAGACGACGATTCACCAGAGGGACAATACGCCCTGAGCTAAACTATCCAATGCCAAGGAAAAAATACTCAAGACGCTGTGAACTGCCAAGATACACCGGCACTGGAACCTCGCATCACGAAGGGAACGTGACTTCAAAGCAACTTAATCTTGAAGAAAACCCACACTTTTCCAAGTGCCACACTTTTCTGCCAAAAATCCTCCGTCTGCATTGCCTTGGCAGCATCTTGCATCTTCTTGCGTTCACGTTTGAGACACAAAAAGTTAGCTGAGACCAGCACACAAAAGGAGCTCTTTGCCTTTGTACAATTGGCCTCGTTGAAAAACAGCTTGTCGGCAGGACCCAGAAACAAGCTCTGCGGGAAAGAGTCATGTCACATGTCCTGTCTCCGACAGGAGAGATTCTGTGCCCAGTCTGCATGTGTTCAATTTGTTCCCACGCCTTGAAAAAGAAGGCTTCCGCCCACCTCCTGAAGTTTCGGATCGGTCAGGCGCCGGGGTTTCACCGACGTGAAATGGTCTAGAGGAAAGCTCGTTCACCGTGGGATCCCATGGGAACGCGCTCTGAAAGGGTGTCTGAGGTTGAAGCCATGCACTCCAGTCTTCCTGAAGACAATTCGGCAATAAAAAGGACCAGAAAAGAGGGCGGTGGCAGGAGAAGAGAGGGCAGCTGTCGCAAAAATGATGTTGCTGGTGTTTCTGAACCATGAGGCTCTAGTGTATCCTCTATGGAACCCAACCCTTCTCTCGTAACATCAATCTGCTTCAGCTAAGCTGGAGAATCTCCTAAATGATTGATTTATCTTACTTTTTCTGTCTTGATGCGTTTTCAATGGAAGTTTGCACCATGTGTCCTATTTTTTTTCGGCACCCCTCACAAGAAAAAGACTGGGTGCACCCCACAGCCGTGGATGGCTTTCGGCCATTCGGCTCCGACACCCGTGGAACGTCCACGTGCTCGTGCTCGTCGTCTGGAGGGTCCTGCAGAGCGGCGCCCGAAACGCGCGTCGTCCGGCCGCGTTCCGGGCGCGTTCCATCCGGCCTCCTCTGAATCGAAGCCATCACCCTGGAGAGCAGGCAACATGTGTCAAGAATAGCTTGTGTCAAGCCGTCTTGGAGAGGCCCAAGTACTTTGGCCAGATGCCGCCGGTGATTTCCTTTACATCTCATGGATATAGGTAGAAATCGTGAATGATGTAGAGTCCCATGTAATTTCATGCAATTAGAATGCTATGAACAGAATTCTTGTCTGAATGGCTTTAACCCAAAACAATGGCAACTCTTTGTGCCTGCCATCGGACAACATGAATTCATTGCCTCATTGTCGACGTGGGCCATCCTCTGGTCGATCAGGCCTCTTGCAAACAAGAATAATGAAGCCACTGCAAATTCGTTGCACCTCCTTCAATGCAAAGCCACAATGTGGCTTCGGGGGGACTGTGGGTCCATGCAAATCCCATTTCTTGATGAAATACCGAAATGAGCAAACCCCTGCAGGCCTGTGGCCCAATTGCCACGCCAAGAAAGACCAAGCGCTCATCACGGGCATTTCACGCAAGCTCTATTCGCTCCATTGGGGAACAAAGAGAGACGACCATGACCTTGACTGAATCCAGGAAATCACCTACTAGTCAGTTGATCCAGTTCAGTCAACCCAACTATATAATTCTAATAGAAACCATTATGTGACTTCGCATGCTCTCAAAGCTCTACCTTCTGGCCAAAAGATCTCTGGAGCATTGGCATGGACTGGCCACACAATAAGTGCTATCATCTCACTTTGGTGCATCTTTGATTTGTCATTATTTGCATCAAGGTGTTATGAGCTGCGGACCTTTTCGCCCCTCCATCCGACGTGCTGGTACTTCCTAGCAAGCCTCATTAAGGCGAAGGAGCGATCAGCTTCTCTTTTGGCAATGTCCGAAGCTGTCTCATGAAGCCCTATCAAGACACGATTTTGTGGCGTGATGTTCGAATCAATGCATCTCATCGTTGCCTTGTAGCCTGGACTTCCTTCGATCACACCAAGTCTGGCGATGTCAATGACCATTCCTTGAGGAATCTCCAAGAGCTTCCCGGTGTTCACCATCATCTTGCTACGCCGATTGTCTCCACCGTGGCAGCATGGCATGATGGCAAATTCCACTTGGCAACTAATGCACTCATCAATCAGTTCGTCTGACAGTAAGCTGCAGGCATGACAGGCCACCACCACAACATCGCTTGGATCAACGTTTCTTGTCTGCAAGATGGACTTTAGCCATCCAGCTTCGCTGATGTCTCCAACTTGGAAGTCCACAGCTTCCGAGGTGCCCTCATCTTCAGGCATCCAAGCGCTGCGCAGATTCTTGAAGCTCTTTGGCTCATACAAGTCCACCACCAGCGCACGCTCCACACGATGGAAGGCACGAAACACCAAGGCGATTCCACCATGACCGCCCGCAGCATCCACCAACAACTTCTTCTTACCAACTTGCCAGCAGCATGAGTGGTAAAAGGCTATACACTCCTTGATCTCTTTTGACGGTGGCTTTGGGTTCTTCATCTTGTGCCAGGCCCACCAAAGCGCGTACTCAATCTTTTGCCGCCCGCTGAGATTCTCAGGGAAATCAATGGTTGGAAAGCTTTGCCCGTTTTGCCCTTGCATCCCTTGCTTCACAGATCCGCTAGACCGTCTCCTTACCAGACCTGGACCGCGCATCCAACCGAGTGCCAGACCACAGCTCACCGGGAACCCCAACGCCCGCAGGACGGGTTCCCGGTGACGCATGGGACCAAATGCGAGCGGCCGCGTCAAGAAACGTGGTGAGAAGTCCAACTTTGGGACCAACAACGATGCCATTGCAAGGCATCAATGGATTCGTCGGTGTTTTGGAGGTCGTCTTATCATATCTGTTCTTGCTAGGATGAAGTAAAAGACACATGCGTCTTAACACACAACCGAGATTGAAGCACGATGGAACTACGTCAAATGGACCGGAACCCATGTGCCATTGCCTGGATAGTGGACTTGTGTGGTAAGATGCGATAGCAAAGATCAGAAACACGTGTTTGGATTCTAGCTTGATTAAAGGTTATCTAGACAAAGTATCTATTTATACATAGTTCGAAAGAAACATCCAAACATTTGGAGGGCCATGGCTCCAGAACTATGGTCAACGAACTGCGCCCTCTTGGCCAAACGTCTTGACTCCTTGGGCTGGCTCAAGCCACCAAACTTGGCCTGGCCAAACGCTGACTCTGTCGCACTTTTTGCTGGACTTCGAAGCTGCCCTTCGCTTCTCTTCCTCAGCCCGAGGCGGTCTGGAGGAAGAGAACCTCCCATCCATTTGCATGTTGGTTCACCCTTCGCACTGAAAAACCAACGCCAGAACCAGAACTCAAGCGATCGCCTGCCGCACCAAAACTTGATATATTTCGCAGGTCGTTGGTCTGTAGTCACTGTAGTCCTTCTTCCAAACTTGGTAGGGTCTCGAAGTAGGTTTGTCCTCCCCAGAAAGACTGATCAACCCGCCAAAGCTATAGGGATTCTCTTGTTGGGGCACCACGTGACAAACAACTCGGGTGTCTATTGACATCTTTACTGATAAGCGCATACTGTTAAGGAGAATCGTACAGCTTTGCACAAAAGATCACAAAAGTGCAAATTGGACATCACAACTTGATGGTCCAAACCCACGGAGGTTCTGTTAGTCGCCCTTAACCACTGCCATATGATCATCCTCCCTTGAAGGACTACGAGGTTCAAACTATGCCGCCTACAGGATCCTACAGGAATCCAAATCCAATGACTTCGAGGCTTCAACCTTGACACGTTACAGGCATTGGCATGCATCGGCCGCTTTTTGGGGCCAGCGTTACTCAGTTCGTGCGATGACGGACTTTGGGCCAAAACGCCTTGTTTCCACGAGCCGCCGAATGTGGGGCCGGAGGAGTGTCGATGCAGGAGCTCTGAGTGGGGAAACTGCTCCAAGGATCCAATTTCATGCGCGCTTCGGCCACGGCTTCCGTCACCTTCTGTGAGATCTCCTGCAAGCAATATCAGTGGGTGGCAGGCTGTACGGCGGTTGCCACGACCGGAAAGGACAAGGAATTGCCACCGACCCTTGCAGCGAAAGATTGGAACAATTAGAGGATCTTATGACATCTTTAATGCTTGTGTTCAAGGACTGGGAAGCACAAAGGTCACCGGTTCAGTTCTCTTCTGCTTGCCCATCAATCGAAGAGTGTGCGATGCTTCGTGTGACTCGTTTGCTTTGTTCCTTCAGTGTCGCCCTTGATCCAGGGCAATCAACCAAGGGATTCTACCCAAAGAAACCTCACACTGCTAAGCTTGATAATCTAAAAACTGAAAATGCACATCTTTCAGTGGCCTCTGGAACTGCTTCAGCATCTGCCGGGCGATATGTGCTCGTCACGTCTTCGACGGAAACGGCCAACTCAGCAGTTGCCTCCGCAGTGGACAGAGTCTATGCATCTCTTTTGGTACAAGTACACCACTGCAACTAGCAGCTGGAAGAACCCATAAGAACCCGCAGGACGTCAACTATAGTGCACGCAACATAACCATACATAACCCAAAAAAGGAAAGAAAGGGTGGGTGCCCGGAAGTTGGTTGACCGACTCTAGCCAAAAGTGTTGATGTTTGGTTGTGTTCCACATCAGAATCAGCCTAGATCAGTCTGGCATAGGGACAAGTGCCAAAGCCGAGGCTTGAAATAGATTAGAAAGCCATATTTTAGTGCAGTCCCCTGTCTCTGTGTGTGGGAGGGGCTGAAGCCATTTACAAACCCATGCTGCAAACATGCTGACGGTCGCGATTTATATCAACTGCTGTTTACCCAACACAATACTCAAGACGGTGAGGGACCTGAGAGCAAAGCAACTAAAGAAATACCAGCTGGCTCGGTGGCATTCACTCTCAAGCTGTGCAACTAGGCAGCACCACACAAGAGCAAAGCGCTTTTGCCAAGACACGCACTCCGCAGGTGACCGGCGGGTGACAGGTGTACGCATGCGCGGGTGATCGGTGTGCACGTGCATGTCTCATCCATTGGACTTGGCGAAGTCAGCTTCATCGACCAGGAAGATCTTGTAACCATCCACATCCTGAATTCCCATAATCTTTAGGCCGAACATCACGGTAGGCTTCATGGTGAGTTTCACACCCAAGTCCTGAAGCTGGTCCGCTGCCTCTTGAACATCATTGGTGGATACAACCAAATGATCAAAGCCTGATCCCACATTCACGGGCTTGTCTGCCTGTTGCAAACACAGGTAAGTTTGCGGACCTGAGGAGTATTGCAGGTAAGCCGCATCTGCTGACTCCTTTGGAGAGTCTTCAGCTACTGACATTCCGAGTTTCTCCGTGTAAAAAGAGATGCTTGATCTTAAATCTGCAGTTTCTAAGCACAGTGCCACAATGGACTGCTCCTGTTGCTTCGAAACTCTGCGGAGTGGATATCCACTTGGATCCTTCATCTCAATCTCTTTCTGATCTCCTGCGATCCAAAGACCTCCGAAGCTGCCCACTTCGACACTTCCCGTCGCCGAATCCTTCCGCTTGGGCGCTGCCGCGAGCTCCAGCGCGAAGCGCGACAGGTCTCGCTTCGTCGCCTTGTCGCCGAAGGCCACAAACGCCGTGGCCGCACCGTTGGGGCGACGATTGCAGGACAGGACCTTCATTCCGAGCTTCGAGACGTAGAAGTCCAAGCTGTCATCAATATCATCGATACGTAGCATGGCATGCAAGAGCTTTTGCCCAACAGGTCTTGGTAGCCTTGAAGAACGGACCTTGGACCTAATGGAGTTTAAACCGCAAAAGCACCGCATGTGATTGGCGGTCATAGCGGCAAAGCACACAAACCAGAATGATCTCTGCTTGTTGAGCTTCCAGGGCTGCAAGGCCGTCATGGCACAATGGATTTAAAATGATGTAAAGGTGCGCTCTCGAACACGTGATGTTTCAAGATGAGTCTAGAATCTACAGAAACCACGGTAACCACGGCACCTTGTGAAGTTGCTGTGGATTGAAAGTGCAGAGTTCTTGGGAAGACAAGAGACTGTCAACACAAAATAGCCTTTGCACAGAACAAGTCCAGCTGTTCAGCTTGCCACTCGCTTCATTGAAAAAGAAACCGTCCACTTGCCCTGCAGGACCACTGAGTGAAGGATCAGTGAGCATGTGTGGGCATGCGGTCGTCAACACTCTATAGCACGTTTCACCAATGATTCTTCAATGCGCTTGAAATCTTCAGCTGGTCGGCTTGGTGAGCGGTCGGCTTCAGCTTCGGCTTGGGTCACTTGGCGACCGCTTCTGGGCTGATCCGATGTGCCTCCATGGAGGTGGTCTGGCCGGTGTTTCCGTGTCTGTTGGAGTATTACAATGATGCGCAAAAGGTGTGTGTGTGTGTTGTTGCTGTTGAAGGGTATTAGAAAGTTATATAACCTGAATCTTCAGCATCTGATCATCTGATTGTGGTTTAGATGCTGAGATCAGAGATAAAGGTTCAGAACTCACTTCAGATGCTAGAATATCTTTTCTCAGAGTTGCTCCCTTCCATGTACAACCTGTGTGAGTCAATGAGATTGGCCAAGACTAACGTCAATCCAATTGCCCCGTTGCCATAATATGTTTCCCCGTTGGCCCAATCCAGTCATCTGCTCTGCCCACTTGATCGCCTGGTATGCCAGGACATGTAAAGGACACCTCCCCCACTGCTCTGCATAGAGTAGAGGTTCCTGAGTGTGTTCAATCTTGCAGCTTTTATGCTTCAGAGAGATTCAATGGCAAGCCCAAGATACGGTGAGAGGACAATATGGGCAAAAGCTCAAGTTCTGTCCAAAGACTAGTCAGGTCTCCTCAACGCATCAAGTGAGAAACGTGAAAACACTGCGTGACCAAGAGAACAAAATGTGGCAAGCGCTGGCATGAGCATATTCATCCCCCGTCGTGTGGACAATGTGACAGAGTACCAGTCTGTCCACAGGCGCGGTCTGCCGATCCTGCGATCGCTCTCCTCCTAACATGTCCCTACGCACATGTACCGGGCGCTTGTGCTTCAAACCAATCATGTACCCTGCAAGTCTACATTTCCAGCCAAGGAATCTACCAGTACTTCCATTTGGTTTCCGCTCCAAGCATCGTCCATGTGCTTTGACCGAGCATCGTCCACCGCAGCTTCGCAGGGATCAATGTGCACCCAGCGACCGCAGCGATTCTCCACCCACGCTTCCACCCACGCATGACCAGCATGATTATCCACCTGGCCAAGGGAAGCTGAATGCGATAGAAAAGTGAGGTGTTGCAGTGAATCCAATCTCCCTGTCTCATGAGGTGGCATGTTGGAAAGCGATGGAAATCGGTCTGATATCGATGCAAGCCTTGAATTCGCGTGAACTGTTGGTTTGGGTCAAATCAGGTTGCGAGCGACATCATGTGTCATGATGACTGGAATGGGTTCGCTGGGCTGAGAATCGAGATTTGCTGATCCCAGCGGTTGCTGGGTGGCCGGTGAGACGTGTTCTCCGTCTGTACGGTCGCTCTGAGGCTGAAACCCATCTGGCAGGGAATCCCAACGCCTCAAGGAATCTTAAGGCCAACCAAGAATACCTCGCTGCAATGAAATGGACTCCACTTGGCCCAGCCATTGGCTTCGAACAAGCGAAAGGATGAAAAACTAACCACCAAAAGGAAAACATGCCCTCATCACTGTGATCCCTAAACCTCCAAAACAAACGAAGTGCACGTCCAGGCTTGTTGTTGTAGGAGGGTCCATGTTCTGTTGTATGTGTCTCAATCCTGATCGTGATGTCAAATCACCAATCGTGATGCCAGTGCAGCTCGTTTGCATGCGGTCCTTTGGGAGCACCCAAATTGACTTGCTTCTTCTTATACAATTCACATATTCAGCCCTTCAAGTCCTCCAAGCATTGAAGATACAGTAGACTGAGTGCAATTTGCTTGACAAGTGGGGTTCCGAGTGCATCCCTGAAACAGGTCCCAATTGACCAAAACAAAGAACGAGCATCAAGACAAACTGAAGCGACTTCGGCCCAGGTCCACCAGCATGAGTACTCCAAGGTGACCATACATTAAATACAAAAGCAAATGACGCAAACACCTTGGTCTCAAGTCTTCCATCAAGTTCAACAAACCGTCAAGGCAAAATGATTTGGAGTTCTTCAGATGTTCATGGACGGACAACAAAGCATTGACCAATATACTTCAGTATTGCGATGAAGACGACCTGGTCCTTGGGACGAGTTTCAGTTCCTCTTTGCCGAAAGAAGAGCAAGAGCAAGAGATTTCGTTCGTCAAAGAGTTTGCTCTATTTCACTCTTGTCAATTGCCTGAAATCTCTTGCTCTTGCCACTTTCAAGACCTTGACCCTACTTGTGATCCAAATTGAAGCACACGCATACTGCAAAGGTGGAGCCGCCTCTGCTTCCCTCGTAACCACCCCAAACCGGAAAATCTTATGACCGTTCAGGTGGAGATAACAAAGCGACGGCAGGACATCATTCCTCCGAGCGACTCCCCACAGCGTCCGCGATGTGTGTCCAGGACCGGCCGCACTCGCCGGAAGCGCGGGAAGAGGGAACTCACATTGCAGCCTTGAGGACGAGACAAGTTTGAGGAGCGGGTTGTGTTGACAGTATCTTTACCTCAAACTCAAACAGGATGTTGGAGCATCAATAGCTGTCCAACATCAAAACACAAAGCATGGAAGCTTGGTCAGGAACACCTGGAGAACCCCTCAGTGGGGCGCCTTCACAGAAATTCACCTCAGAAACTCCTGCTCCTCCTTCTTGACGCTCATCATCACTTGGCCTGACAATCTTCCAACAAGGATGGTTTCTTCGATCGCCATGGTTGATGGGTTGGACCCTGGCTGAAGATGAATCATTTCTACACACCCAGAGACCAACTTGTTGGCTTGACCCTGTGACCAAACACGCCGACCTACCAACCCAGGGCCACAAAGGAGTCGGTTCATGGTGTGGACAGCTTTCCTCCCACGAAACACGTGAATCGACAACCCAAGGCCACAGGGACTCGTGCAGTTTTTCTCTCGTTCTCTCTCGTCCGCGCGAAAACTGTTGGACCGGGAAAAATCACCAGATTCTGTCCATCGTCAAGCGGCTCAAATGTCTCAGGAAACCTGTGATTGCAAAAAGCCAAACCATGGGAAACAAATGATTTGTCCCAACAAATGTGTGCTGTATATATAGATTGGTTGACAACCTCCCAGTTGCACTTCCAGGGATGCTTGCCACTCTTCTCGTGAAATGGTCGACTTGGAACACCCCTAGATTGGAAGACACATTGGCCTAGACAATGGGCAGTCCCAGGTCCCATTATCATCCATTGGATCCAACAACTCTCCCACAGCTATTTCCATGCCCGGCTGTCCCAAATAAGCGGAGTGCCGAATTGCACAGACTGACCAACGCCTCACAAAACTTGCATGGCCGCAGAACACTACACTCCAAATCCATTTCAGCGAGGCCAGCTGGCCCATCTTGAGCAAATCGGTTCCCATCAAGGATAATCTTTTGAAGTGAGATCTTTGGCCACCAGGCTTGGTCAAGTGCTCTAAGACTGCAAGACCCTTCAACACATGTCCTGGGAGAACCTCTTCCCTTGCAGTAGTTCCGTCAAGAAAACATACCAAGTAAATATACCAAGTAAAGCACCTGGCTGCTTTCAAGGCATTTGTGTCACAAGCAAATTCTCCAGGATTGCTGGTTTGATTCCATTCTTTGTCGAAGACTGCCTTGTAGCATGCCTTTATCAAAGTAGCACCCAGCCTTGGCCGAGATTCAGCAACATTTTGTGTTGAGAATAGAGACCGTTTGTTTCACCTGTTGTCACGGTTTGCGGCCTGCGGCCTGTCCAGGCGTGGTGGCATCAGCTGTATCAGCCCAAGCTCATGCTGAGAACTGCACGTGGAAAAGAAGCACAACTGTACACAAAGCACCTTTGCCTTTCTTCCATGCCTTTTGTTCACAGGATGTGTGCGGGCAGAACATTCAAGTGAGCCCTTCTTGGCGGTCGATAGATGTCCTGATATGGACAAAAACTCAGTCTGCAAGGCTGCAGTGTTGACTCCAGGCGCCGTGCGGTCTGGTCAAGAGTCGAGCTCGCTTTGGTCGGAAGGCTGAGGACAAGCTGCGTTGAGGTTCCAAAAAGTAGACAACCCAGTAGTCTTATCCTGATCTAGAGCACTGTAGGATGCAACTACCAGTACCTGCCATATGGGAACCCATCCATAGTGTGCCTATAAGTACAAACATGAACAGCAACAAGATGGCCGCATCACATTGTCAGTGCACAGTATGTCGAAGATGTCGCAAATGGGTGAGTGGTGCACTCTACTCATCTACTCCCAATCTCTGGGACATTTATATACATCATATCCCATTAGTGTTCAAACATGCATGGTGTTGCACCTGTCGGATGCTCTTTATCAGAATACAGTCCCTGTGGTCTCCATATGGCGGTGCTTGCTATCAAAACAGAGTGGATGCACAGTGAAGTACATGTACAACCTTTGCAACACATCGTGTGCACCGCACTCTCTACAATGTGGACACATCTGTATGCATGGTGCTCCTTCTAGGTGACTCGTAGGCTCAACAATGAACTATGAATTTCCCCGTGTTTTGTACCCAACATAGATTCTTTGTCCAACAACTCCGCAAACACAGTCTCAAGTGCTGGTGTGCTATGAGATGTGCATAATGGTTTCATTCAAACAGAGTGTGCAGAGAATTGTTTCGGTGCAAATCCTTACCCTGTCACTGTCAGACACACAAACATGTTCTTTCTCGGCAATTGCTTGGTATGTGGTCATCGACATCGATTTGGAGAGTACAGGGAGCCGTCTTAGGACTACGCGCTCTAAGAGGAGCGGTTTGCACGTGCTTCGTAGATTTCAACTAGGGAGACTGGCTGGAATGGGTGATGTTGATTCTTCCAGGAGCTCTTTGAAAGGTCTCCCTATGGACGACATGCTCAAGATTCACTCGGCTCAACTGACACTCACCGTGAACTCACAGCCAACAAAGGACTGTGAGGAGCTTACTTCTCACTCCTTGCGAGCAAGTGTTCACCAGTGTCTTTTGTCAACAACCTGAATTTCAGATCTAAACACATTCAGGACCTTGTTCATAAATTGCAGCGTGAAGGATGACTAGCATCAAATTTGACCTTGCTCATGGTATACCGCCTTTGGCGTCTTAGCAGTGAAACAAATTTGGCATCTTACACAAACGGATCAAACACCTCTGGATCTCATCCGGCTGAGTCCGCTGAGGTTCTGCAAGTTGCCACGCAATTCTGGGTTTGGCGCAAGTTTGCTGCAGCAGCACATGTGCTGCACAAACAAGCTGACTTGGATGGGCGATGAACTGTTGTTTGTACATGTGACACAAGAATTACTTGTTTATCATCTTTTCAAATTGTTCCACATCCAAATCCATGCCACTCAGCCGCTGAGGTGCACTAGCCCCCTCGCCACATTGTCGCAACTAATCTGCAAAGCCACACAAGCGGTCCTTGTGTAGATCCGCGCCAAATGACACGCCAACAGCCATGGAATGAAAAGAAAGGCTTTGCGCCGGTGCTTGCAAGTCCGATCTCACGTATAGAACATCAACAGCTAGCCACAAATACAATTAAACTCTTCATATCCATGAGAGACCAAGATCATAGTTCGGCTGGCGATCACCCAGCAACCCGTGGGGTTTGTGTTGGAAAAGGATCCTTGTGAATACCTCCACAACAAACCACCGGAGTCTCTATACTTCCCGAACAGTTGAGGAACTTATTTAAATTTGGGCTGTCGACAATCTTAAGTAGGATTGCCACTCCTTCCTTCCAGTTGAGCCACTGAACATGTTGAAGCTTCGGGCATCTGGTATGTCCCCTAGTCCTTGATGGTGGTGGAAGGACGTTCAATTTAATTGCTGGGACAACAAAGTCAAATCTGCAAGGTGCAGGGCAGCTTGAGTACATGGCCACTGGCCATCCGGTCCACACTGACGCGCTCAGGCTTCCTCCCCTCTTAGAGACGACACAAAACAAATCAGTGTTTCGAAGGGTGGGGGCCATGTGACCACTCCACCAAGGGGGTGATGGCTTGCCGGTACTCAAAAAACAACAAGTACCCGTTTCTGGACGGAGAGTCAGTGATTTCGGCCCACAGAATCGATTTCGGACGGGGGGTGTACAAGCATGGCTCAAATCTTGAGCCTGGCACACACACGGCACACACCCTGGGAACTTCCCACGGGAAGTTGATGTTACGACAAACATACTGTCTTTCACGCCAACATTGGCAGGCAACATTACAATAGATATATATATATGTGTATATTGCCAACACCTGTTGTTGGTGGTGATCTCAGCACCACGGGTAGACCTTTGCCATCATGCATGCGGCTATCTTGGTCCACATCAGTAGGTGGGAAGCCTCTCACGCGCCGCAAGCAAATTTACGACTGTCGATAGGCAGTCAAGTCAAGAGCTGGTCCACATTGGACCTCAAGATCAAGGACTTAGTCACATACTGTGACAGGGTCCTGACATCATCTGACATCCCTCCCTGCTAGCGTGAGACCTACTTTTTCAGCTTTGACAGGCTCTGTGTAACTTTAAAATGGATCCAAAAACGGGGCCTCTTCAGTTGCACAAACTAGGCGATGACTGCGATTCTGAACGCACGTACGGTGTCATGTCTGTTGGGTGTTGGTCAGGCACGAGTTGTCTTCATCCCCAAGGTAAAAAACAATGGGCGTTTCCAGGGCTATCCATTGGCCATTGGCACCTGGCGCCTCCGAGAGCCTGATATACAACAATCTCAAGAAGCTCCTAGTAGCGCCCTTGCTCCTAGCAGTAAGGCCAGGAGCCCCTAGTAGCATCCTTGTTCCTAGTAGCGATGCCAGGAGCCCCTAGTATCGCCCTTGCTACTACTGAGTACGCCAATTGAAGTGAATGCCATTCTGAATGCTTGTCATCAAGAACGTTGATGTGGGATTGCTTGAGACATTGCCAACTGATTGGATTTTGTGCCTTGCATGCTCCACGAGTCATATTTATGTATGTGGAACTAGAGGTGTTCACCTCCTTGTTGCCTTAGCAAATGAATGCAACTCATCCACAGGGCCTATGATCACCAGCGGGGTGGGAATTCACCATCACGCCCTCACGGCACGCGATCCGGATCTTCCTTCCCGGATTGCGGCCTTCACCTTAGCAACAGCTTGAGCTGAAGCCAAGACGATCTGATGGAAGAACTGAACTAGGTGGCACCCATTGACTTCAACCTGAGGGTTCTAAGACTCCTTGGCATGAAAACAAGAATCATCTACAAAAAAATCTACAACTACAATATCTGAAAAAGTAGAACGCTTGCCAAGAGCCGTGGCATGATTGCTACGGTGAGCTCCAAGAACTACACTAAACTTTTACAAAAGCTTCATCCAAGCTGGTGGAACAAGTAGGCCGTGAGTGGTGCCTTTCAAGCTATTCCTGTTTATTCGTTGTATGATGGTGAAGAAGGGAACTTCAGGCCAGCTGCCTTTGCTAGATTGAGGCATGTCTTGTCCTTCGCATATGTGGTTGTCTCATAGCCTGGCACACATGATCTTCCCCCCCATTGACTTTGCACATTCAATCGCCCTTGGCCAATTTTCATCCAAGCAGCTTCTGGAAAGCTTTGGGACCTTTTGCTGTTTACAGCCTTTCAGCGGCAGGCGCTCATGAATGTTACCTTCTCGCTGTCATCTTCGACTTTTCCAACAGGGGATGTAGGAGATGAAACTTGACAAACAGAACCAGTCCTCTAAACCAACGGTTGGTGCATGCACATGACGCTCCTGACTGATTGGCACACGTGGCTTTCCGGGCCTTGCGAAGCTTCCGCCCCTGCGTTCGTTCCACACTTCTTCGCAGAGTCTCCAAAGATTTCACCTGGGGTCGTGATGGTCATCGCGCTACGCGGTGATCCGAATTGTGGCTACTGTTCTGCTTCGTAATCCTTAGAAGCCTTAGCAGCTTGTGCCATTGCAAATGGAATGGACCCATGTGCTCAACGATCATCTTATGATCATCATCGCCAAGTCACATGGATCTCCTCAGCAGCGGGGCAATTGATTCTGGCAGCGGTCCCCCGAGTGTGATGCAGGTCGAGCATGTAAAATCATATCATAGTAAATCACCTCGCCATATGTTACCAGTGTTCGTTGAAGAAAACGTCATCAGAAACATGCGGTTCTTCCACCAAGAATCATGTCATCCTGTACAAAACAAACAAACAAACCAACCAACCAACCAACCAACAAACAAACAAAAACAAGAACAACAATCATCTCCAACAACCAAAGCAAAGTTTCACCACAACTTCCACCACCCAGATCCGTTGTCAAGTCACACTCCTGACTGTTTTTGTTCTCAGAAATGGGAGACTGCAAGCGGGGTGTTCAATTGGCAACCTTATGAAGACTCTCAACATGGAGGTGGTTGCCTCCCAAGCAGCTTACCACAGCTCCTGTGCATATCTAACAGATCCCCACTCCTGCAACCTCACAAATCTGGGATTGACCATTTGCAAGCCCAATCACGTTTCATCTCCGCCCTTCAATATCAGTTTGACTGTTGTATCTTTACTAAGTGGCAAATACTGGCATCTCCACCAAGTCTCGTGGTCATCCAAGTTTGGGTTTGTTGGATGAAAACCTTCAGCACCTCCTCGCATCTGAAAGGATGAAACACGTTCTGGAAAGCGCTCGCCTGGGCGCGTTCGTGCTTCAAGCGCTCGGTATCACGACATGGTGCGGAAGAATGGTGGTCTGTCAAGTTGCCAAATGGCTGGTGCCGGCGACTGAACGCAATCATACAACCGCAGTTTTGACACATGAGGATGTGTCAAACAGCTTTCCCTTGACACCTTGCACTCCACTTTTCAAGGGTTTTTGTTGGCACAAATACAACAACACCTGTCCGTCTAATTGTTCTGCACAGCTATGGCTGCCTCACCCAAGCGAAGCTTAGGGAAGCAAATCTAGATCAGAACAGCTAGACGTCTCTTTTGCACCCCAAGCGTCGAATTTTCGCGTCTGCATCACCTGGGTGCTGTGCTTGATGGGTGCATGGTCATCTATCTCCTCCCTCCCTCCCTCCGACTGGGAAAATACGAGTGCTATTACGGGTTATTTGCAGGATCAAGATCCAACAGCCACCCAATAATCATGCGGAAACCGGAGACATCTCTGGCAGGTGCCAGCCGTATGCCTCCGAATGTTGCATCATCACAATTCCTTTCGCTGCAGACAAGTGTCTTTGAGAGTTCCTGCCTTTCTGCCCGACACGCTTCTTGAGGTCACAATCTGGCAGGATGTGAACAGTTGAACAAGGTTGTGAAGGCAACAAATCTCCAAGTAGCCGATAAGTCAGAAGCGACCAGAATCACCGAGCAGACTCTTACGACTTTGGCCTGCTTAAAGCATCTTTAAACAGCTTGAAACAACCTTTTTCGGGACGTCTGAGAGGGTGTCGCTCTTTTTTCCGAGACCAGTCTCAGATGTCACGCCAGAAGCTGTCAAACCGCCCTACCACCAGGTTTTTTTTGAGCATAGCCCTACCAATCTTGCCTCCATCTCCGGCTTGTTAGATGGAGTCATACTCGGGGGCAACACGAGATGCGCCACAGCCCATGGCCAATGGTATCGCTTCCGAAAAGAAAAACTAAAAGGCGGACACCAAATCGTTGGTCCGCAGAGGCGCGCCCTACTGTGACGACGGGGGGGTTGGACCTGATCTTGAGCCCGGATGGCTCAACTGAGCAACTGACTGAGTTGAGTCGTCGACTAGTTACCTGAGAATCTCTCAAGAGCTTGGGCTCAAAGGGTCCATTCTTGAAGCGTCGAAGCACGGCTTCTCAGTCCACTCTTAAATGGAACTACCCAGAAGAAAGGTTAGAAAATCTATGAAAATCTGACAAAATGAAGGTGAATGCCACATGCCCACAGCTTGTTCTGTTACAGCTCTGGGGCCGCTGCCTCGCCACACCCAAGAAGTGTGTGACACGCATGCAGCGCTCGCAGTGGCCGTGATAGTAAGGGAAGTTTCGCCGGAACCATGTAAAGAACTCCTCGAAACATCTCGAAACCACATCAAAGTGGCTGGAGCTCAAGTGATATCAAGTGATATTTCCGCATCAACTCTGTGAGTCTTTCCGGGAAAACTGAAGGACAAAAAAACTGACAGACGAACACAGACCGAGAAGTTATAGAATACCAGATTAATTGGAATTGGGGTCGCCGAATGCACTCTCCAAGCTGACGTAGGGTGGCCAACCGAGACACCTGATCATCGGATCGCAAAGGACACACGATCCGATCGCTTGCTTCAAAGAGCTTTCTTACTGAGACCTAGTGGCCTAGTGGCCGCATGGCCTATAGGTTCATGGATTCCTGCGGGCGCTCGGTTCATGGAGGCCATGCGCGAGCGACGAGGCGACGGGGCGTCGTCCTTCAGCTCCACCAAAGGGGAGGCGGACTCGGTAGGTGACTCCAGGGACTCCTGCAACAGGTCACTTTGGAGTGGAAAGACCAGAAATTGGAAGATGTTCTTACATGATTCTTGCTGGTTCTTGGAATGCTTTTGGATTTCCCTGTATCCATCACTGTGACAACCAAAACCATGTGGCTCCTGAAGGAAGACAGACCGGACAACTGCCCTACATCCCTTTTCCCTGGTGTTCTGCAAGGTCATGTCGCAGCTCAGTGTGGGGTGGGACTTCTTCCCATCAGCTGTAGAGGAAATCTATCGGTCGCCGCCTTGAGAACACAGAGAGGTGCTTGCTTGCTTCAGGCTTGCACTCCTGGGAGGCCAGCAGTCGCTTCAGACCATCTTCTCCATACTCCTCAATCGCGCTGGGGAAAGGGGACGTCTCACTCACAGCAGCCACGGACGGGCTGCAAGATCTTTCAGGAAGGAGGATATCGTTCATCCCATCATGCCCGTAGAGAATCATCCCAAGTCATGTTTCAGCAACAAGGCTTAGATTTGCAAATCAGTACAATCCTGGAGGATCTTCGCTTTTGCCTGAGTTCATCGGTGATCGTTGAGTATCGTTCGCTTTGACCAATCAAACTCATCTCCAAGCGTCTCGGCCGATCCATGCCCGAAGCTCATCATCAGAGGCCTCTGCCGGAGGTCGTTCCAAGACCCGCCCCATGCTCCGCAGCACATCCTCGGTGCTGGGTGGCTGCCCATGCACCGGACATCTTCCTCAGCGACGAAAATACGGATTTCTTCTCAGAACTTGGGCGTTTGAGACCGAAGACTGACCGCTCCAAGAGTCCAGTCCGGAGCCAGGCGAAAGCATCATAACCTCAAAGTCGACTGACTGTGCTGTGCAACTATTTAAAATGCACAGTGCCTCAGGCCAAAAAGGTCATGGATCGTCACTCCTATCCAAGAATGGTGGCACCAAAAAATGGTCACGGGAACATCTGAGGATTGCTTTCCTCATGTCCTCATGTCCCAGCTCGAGAGCTTACGCTTGCTGCTCATGAGATCCTCTGCTGCTGCCCAATGCCCCAAGCGGAAGGAACACCATCGTGAGCCGAGAGGCACGAGACCAGCAAGTGTCCTTCCTGAAGGGTTGTCAAACGGTGGATGTTCCAACGAAGAGTTGTCAATCATGTCATATCGAACGGGCGGCTAGTAGGCTAGGGCTCGAAGAATATCCAAAACCATCCACTACAGCACAAATCGGGCTGTGACCTACTGGCCCAAGGACTTAGAAGAAAAAGAATCGGCTGGAGCAAAATTCTGCCCCCAGTCCTCCCACAGCTTGTTCATCTTCTTCCGCTCAACTTCAATGCCAAGCATTCTATAGCTGGAGCTTCCTTTTTCCAGCCTGTTGTGTCAATCTGATTGGTGGACCAGGGATATGGATGGATACCAACAACCGGAATTGCCATGATCCTGTAGATCCTGAGACCTCGCCTGACCAAAGGAATTAGTGAAGAAGGCCCCTCACAAAGAAGTGTTGTTCTCTTTCCTTCCAAGAGCCCCCCCGTCCCAAGTGATCCAAGTGTGGTCACGCGAAGGACTTGCGAGTCCGATTCGACGCCAATCAGAGAGGACTTCCCATTCGCGTTGGAAGGAGGTAACAATGCCTAGGAGATTTCACCCATGCCTGACAGCACCGTCGTCTTGAAACTGCATGAAGATAGGCACCGGTTCAAACCCTCCAAGTTTCACCAGTTCTATCGCCCGCGCAACTCCTGCCTGCCATGGCTTGCGGTGGCCCAGGCCTCCAGGGCCTGGCAGGGAAGGGGACAGAGAGGTATGCACATTTAGCACGGGGACAGCGGGAAAATGTCTTCACACACTCGGTTTAGGGTTTAGGGTCATTGACTTCATTGACCATCTTGGTGAGAGGAAATTCTTGTTCCAACTTCTGTCAAGAGTAGCGGATTCGAACCCAACGGGACATACCACCTGTCGGCGCCTCTTGGAGTTCGCCTGCATCGTCCGGGCATCCCGGCTCCCCTGGTGAAGCCAAGGCAGGAAATATCGAGATCGAACAGCAAACGGCAAACATGGACCAAGGACAAAGGCTCTCATAGGATGCCTGATGCCAGAGCTAGAGACGACCCAATTCCAATGACATAGATACAAATAGCAACCAATTGATCCAGAATGCAATCTTGGCACAACAAAATATCCTACAATTATGAGGATCTTTCATGATCTTTCTTCAAACCTTTTTCCGCAGCCCCGTCCACCGGGACGCCTGCCAAGGACAACGCCTTTGACTTCCCTGCCACCGCGACCAACAGGCTTACAGGTTCCAAGCGAGTGGGTTCCACACCTCGGGGACAGCGGAAGAGAGCCCATGGATGGCGCAGGAGGGGCCATCCATGCCATCCACGTTTGAAAGAAGATCACCGTCAGCTACTTGGATCGAAATCCAAAATGACCAGAGAAATGCTTCAAAATGCCCATGTAAAAGACCCATGGCTGCCATGGCTTCATTTTTAGCTTCTAGATTCTTATTGGGGATGTGGGGTGGCTCTTCGCGCCTGAAAGACACGGTCCCGCGATGTCAAGCGGGCCAAAAGCGCCCAAGAGCCCAAGGCCCCAAAGGCCCCAAAGGCCCCAGGGGCGGCGGCGTCTGCGAGGAGGTTTCCAAGCTCAAGTCAGTTGGTTTGCAACAATGCAGCAACCCCTTCTTTCCAAGCACATTGGCTTTGGAAATCCTGCTGTATTGAAGTCTTGTTGTTAAGTGTTTAAAACACTGGAAGGGCATAGCCCCGCAGCCACACCATGACACATGGCCCCGCCTCGGCAGTCGACGCCGATTCGCCATGACGAAGGCTCGGTCAGACCGAGCCGCTGGCGTTTCAGCGGCACTTCATGGCTGGGTGCTTCACAGAAGGCACTGAGAAACTGGTGAAGGAATACTGGTGAAGTTTCTTCTGGGTACTGAGGCTGGGTTACCAGGTGAGAAACTGGTGTACTCACCATGGTGAAGTACTGTGAGATCATCTTGGGGGTTGTGTGTCTCCGCACAAGAGCAATGTCCATCTGACATGAGGCAGCTGTCACTCTTGGCCAAAGGCAGCTTCAAACATTAAAATGCGGGAGCTGTGCTGGATGCGGCCGGTGTGATAGATCACTGCAAATTCGACTCTGGATGTGCAACTGGCGAGTGCTCCATACTTCGTAAGCAAGCAGAGATACGAAAGAATGACGATGAATACCTCACCACCTTACCTACACCAAATCGCACAAAAGCCAAGAAAGTCGACACAGCAGTGATCCTTCAGCTGTCCAATGTGCAGGAGAGAAACGGTATAAATCTACACATCCAGAATCCAAAATACTCTGTTCATTTTGTGCATCCAAGCATATTGCACTCAGCGAATCTTTTCACACAGATTGACCCACAAGAAGGTCCCTCCGCAGTGGTGGTGAAACGACACCACACAATCCGTAAGTTTGGCCATCGACGAACTGTTGGGATCGCCCACATGAGGAAAACAAAGGTCTTTTCCTTCTTCAGCGCGTCTGTGTGGTAGTGCAGAGTGGAATGCAGCTTTGTGTAATTAGGAATTGATGATGTGATGATGTGTTTGATTGCATTTCCTCCAGATGGCTGACTTTCGTGGGCTGTTCTGATGAACATGCAGGTGCTCCCAAATCAGGCGACCCCTTCTTGCCGCGGGCATCGCTCACATCACGGCTTTGGTGAAATCGATACGCCGGGTCTTGAACCTGTCGCCGAAGACATCGCGTTCATGAAGGTTTTGGGTTCAGAGGATGACTCGGTGGTCTTTTAAAAAGCAAACCGAAGACCTGGGATGAGCTGCACGTGTCTCAGCCAAATAGGTCTGAAATTCCCCAACCCATCCCGATTCTCACCAAAAAGATCAAACCGTCTGTTGGACATGTTTGGACCACATATCTGGCTCAAATGCCTGAACTCCTGTAACACAAGTTTCGAGTGCGATGAGTTCAGACTGAGCCTCAAGTGTTGCTTCCCATGGTCTCAAAGCTTTCGGGGAAGCCGAAGAAGTCCTACCCGTCTTCTGATATCTTCTGTCAAGAAGTAACACACTGAACGGATGCTCAAGGTTTACCTACCCTCAACGCCGCTTGCAGGTGACCCGAGTGCATCCTCCGGTCGGATCCTCCACCGGGCGCACCCGATCCACATGCTGCGGTACCAGAAGCCCACAATGAAGGTGCCAACTAGGCAGGCGGACGCGGCCTCGTGAAGGTCGCCGTGATGGACTCCGATTCAGTCCCAAAAAGTGCGGATGGATTGGGATGATTGAGGGAACGCAGGAAGGAGAGCATGTGATGTTTGTCATACCTCAAATCGTCGAGAATTCTTTCGGAGAGGCCCATCGTCACCTTCCAGTTCTTCAATCAGGGGGGCGAACCCAACCAGCAGGTCATGCTGCATGTGTTCGAGTGAAAATTCAGAATCGAACGCACAAAGGGAGTAGTGGATGCCCTTTCGCCTTGTCCACTCTATGGCCGTGTTGCCTCGTAAAATGGCCATCCTACGTATCGCCGGACAGGTGAAAGACGGTGCCTTCAAGCCGATCAGTTTCCGCTCATCGTGCGCCGGTTCCGCAGCCCAGCCTAGGAAGAATGAGATGTCCAAACCAATCCAGTCAGTCAGTTCGGTTCCCATGTTCAGACCCCATGTAGCATCTCAAAATACCCCATAAGTCGTGGTTATTTGACAATGCGGACTAGGCTGCGCAGTGCTTCTTACCCGTTGCCCATGTGAAGGGCTAGTGTAAGCTTTCTCAAGTGATATGCCCTTCTTCGGCACCCAACGAGAATGAAGAGGTCGCAAGAACACAAAAGCAAAACAGTTAGCCGGATAAACTTGGATTCTCGCTGAAGGGGGAGTGAGTCACAAATCGCCGAAACAAATCCAAAGCACACAGGAAGTTCACCACGTCCTTGGCCATCTGAGACTTTGTGCATGGAGTTCCATCCTGCGAGTGCACGAGGTTCTGGAGATGTTTTCATTGTGTGTTTTATCTTTTTTCCAAGAGGTCTGCTGGAAACGCGGCTTCTCCCAAAATGGAACATTGAAAAAAAGGGGGCAAAACAAACAAAAGACCGCCAGAAAGACGATGTTGCTCTACAAGCAGGCGATAGTCCACTTCATTCTGCTTCTATGTTACAGCTAGAGTGCAGTCCATTATGTCGTTTTTGAATGGAGCAAAACCACAAACCGTTTAGATGTGGATTCTACGCAGACTGCCATATTTAGAATTGTATTATATAGATATGGCTGAAATCCACACTATATAATGACTAATTGAAGTGACCACTGTGGAAGTTAGTGTTCATCTATCCTTGATCCCGTAAAATGCCATTTCAACTTGCCTCATAGTCGACGAGACCATCGGAGTGCAGCGGATTGGGCATGCCAATCAATCCTTCACATCAGAGAGTCTACCATTTTTGTTGAATCCTGCATAATGGTCAACTCATCTCTTCAAACGCTTTCAAGCTTTCCGACGCGGGCTTCATAGGGAACAACTGGGAGCCTCTGTTGTTGATGGGCTTGGATTGCATCAAATCTCCCCAAACCGCTACGCCCAGTCCAGGGGCCACGATATCTCTGAGGGTCAAGGCCTCTCTGTGGACTCCGAACCGAACTGCGGCCCTCCCAGCTTGCTCTTACGTCTGTCTTCATGCCCTCAACAGTCTCAGGACACTCGCGAGTTGGGAGAGTGACTTGAAAAGTGTGTCCCAAGTATTTGCAAGGAATGTTTGGAGCAAAATGGACTGCAACCCTCACCGACAAACAACACCTAATTGCACAGTTAGACGGTTAGTCCATCTCAAAACTGTGCCAGCCACCACTGCAGTTCAAATCATAGCTGCCTCCTTTTGGGTGGCATATTTCAACTAAAGCTTCACATCGACTCCATCGTGGTTCGACACAAACTCTGGAGTTGACATCCGCAGCACCTCCAGGGAAGTAGACGTTGTAGTAGAGCCTTTCAAGGCAAACTCGAACGCCCAACGGCCCAACGGTCCAACGGTCCAACGGTCGTCTGAGGAATCTGAGACCCCGAGCCCATCACGGACCTCGATCCCCGCGGGGGGATCACGATAGCCCAGCCTGAGGGGAGGCCCAGGAGAAGGCCTCTAAATGGACTTGATGGCCATGACCAAGTCTAGGATTGAAAGGAACTGTATGATCTATCACTGAAAAAGAACTCCAGCCAGGCTGTTATCTGGGAGATGTCAAGGGAGAAGAATGTAGACTGGGCATGATATGCCTGTTCATACTCTGGCTAAATGATGCTAAATGGTTGCCTCTAGCAAGGTCGCGCTACTACAACTTAATACATAATCTTGAGTCTGGCTACAATCACTTCGCATCCAGCTAGTGACAATCACCATCCGCGTGTGGACCAGACCAGTTGGCTCTGACGCACGAATGTCGCCCCTCAGCTGATCGTGGCTTGCCACTAGGTCACTAAGTTTCTGGCAGGAGTGCAAAAATGTAGTCCAAGCCCTCGTGTTTGGCGGTGGTGTAGACCTCACTGAATCTCTGAAAGCATAAGATGCGGAAGATGTAGTTGCTTCTTCTCCCAATGTGGACTACCAAGGAAGGTCAAGGTTTCGTGATCTACCCCGATCTTTGTGAAAAGAGCCTATGTCCTTTCCAATCTTTCTACCAGTAGTTACCTTGTTGCAAACGTCATTCTTCGTCACAGGACCTCGAAGCGAACGACAATACTGGATCCATAAGGTGTGGAAGCCTCACCCTCAGCGTTCAGGATCTTCAATCTTGACTTCGAGTCCCTGTCGAGAGGACGGACTGCTTTGGCCCTGCCCGGGCCACTGTGGCCCAGAAGCGCGTACTTCATAAATCCGCCGGCCCTTGGGCGCGGCGTGTTTTAGGTGATTGGTTTGGATGCTATCCTAGTAGTAGTTTTGTTTTTAGTCTAATTGTACCCACGGCGCGGATTTTTGACAAGTCTAACTTTCCCCCCCCCTCCCCCCCCTCCCCTCAGCCAAAAGGGCCGGCGGAACAATCCGCAGGGGTAAATATTGAACGCTCCATCACGTCAGATGTTTTAACTTTGTCAAGATGAGCCGATTCATCTACGTTTGAGGGGTCTGCAGAGGGTTCTCCACCCGTCTGCGGCCCCCCGCCGACAAATCCGGAGGATTGGCGCCGCCATTCGCGTAGCGCGCGGCTTCCTCGTTGGGGTACGGCCTCACAGGTGACAAGATGTTACCAGTTGTTGCACTGTACAGTGTGTAGATATGCTAAGAATTGAGACAGTTTCTGTAACTTGTCTTTGGGGTAGAATGTTCCTGATAAAGGAACCTCTCTTGGTGCCAGCACTCTCTCAATACAACTCATTTGGAGGTCCAAAGTGCCCGGATGCAGCAGCTTCTGGTTTTGACTGGTCCAAAGGTCAAGCCACTTTATCTTGCTTTTGAACTTAGAGCCAGCCACACGCATGAGATCTACAAGAACCTACCATGTTGTTCATGAATGCACAAATCCAAAAGCTCCTGACCCCATGCCCTGCATCAAATTCTGCAGGCCAAGGGAAGCCCGACATGTCTTGGCTCTGGGTCTCTAGCGATGGAAAGGCATCCACCAGAATGCCCGGGCGCGTGAACATCTCGCCCTGGCCAGGGATGGCGGATGCAAACCCTTGCACACCAAATGTATGTGGGTCAAAACCGGGCACCCTGCCGGGTACAGAATCCAGAAGGGGGGTTGTACACTCAAATGATGTAGAACTACCAAACTACCAATTCAATCTCACTGAGAAAGCCTGAAACACTATCTGCGCTACACCAAATGAATATATGCATATACATGCATCACGCTCGGGTATGCTAGGGATCTGCTAGGATCCGCTATTGACGCACGGCCAAATTAATTTTAAATGGCGTCTTGACATTCCAATTTTCTGGGACTGCATCTTCTTGAAATCAAGCGTCTCCGGAGCCTATCACAAGAAGGGTGCACCTAGAATTCTGGTCCTTTGACATCCCGGTCGAATTTTTCACTTCCATACTTCCATCTATCCGTCTTCGTGGCGCATGAAAATCCGTGGAAATCGGAGCTTCCGGAGTCTTGTCTCCTCTCAGCTCCTCTCCTCATCGTTAGGCCCATCCACCACGTCGTAGGACGCGGCGATTTCCTTCATGCGCTTCTCCGGCAACACCTGGGTGAAGGGAGGCCAAAGGCATATGCCGAAGGCATCGGAGGTCAGGAACACCTGGGTGTTCCTTATGTTCTGCCCCTTTTCCACCTGCCAAGATGGTTTTTTTGAGGGCCACTGGCGTCGATGACGATGGATGTGTGAGGATGTGTGAGGTATATCTTGCCTTGTAATATATTATAACGACTTATAACTTGAGCATCTGACAGAATCTGCAGGAACACCCTCTCTAAGCACCCTTGAGGTGGGTAATGACCTCCATCCCCATGTCTTGCCAGGCGACAAAGTTGGACAGGTGGCGAAAGTGCAACTGTTTCATGGAGTGGCACCTGCCCCAAGCTGCCGAGATGGGACGAGATGAGGGGGAGCAGTTGAAGTGGAAGGCGCAGTTGGGGTATATATATATATATAATCATATTGAGGACCTGTGATGGGTGAAAACATGTGAAAACATATGAAGACTATTTCATCTGCACATTGGCAAAACTACGACAGAGGCAGGATGATCTGTGGGGCATCTGGAAGCCTGTTGAGCCGGGGATTCTCCGTACTTTCATGTACCTTCTTTGGCAGGTTCCTGATGTTTTGCTTGAGCAGGAACTGTTGGCTTGGGAGAAAAAATACCACATCGCCATCAAGCTGTGGGCTGTAGCTATCAAACTAGAGCTGGGGCCGGCACGTGGCACACACCTGGCGGTACACTTCATAGCCACGTCCTAAGCAATAGTCATCGCAAAAGCTCGGCTTAGAGGCATTTTTTTGCATGAGGATTCAGGGCTCATGGTGGAGTGGTGTTTCTCCGCAAAACCATCTGGACATTAGGATTCTGCAGATGCATATGATCTTCTTGTTTCTAGCTCAGAAATGCTTAGAAAGCAAAAGTACTCAGAACTAGAAGCTGCAGGTCTCATTGCTTCAGCAAATCCCGGTGCCGCACGAACGCTGGGGATCTCGTGCGCATGAAAGACGGACTTCACCTGGCAGGTCCCCGAGTCCCCACCACGTCGATCCGAAACAGCAACGCGGCCCGCTCTCATTGGGCGGTCCAAAGGACTGAGGGAGAAACACTCCAACTCCCTTGGAGGCACATGTTCCAACCATATTGCACCTTGATTCAAACTATATAACCTCAAAGAAACATGTTTCTCCCACAACTTAGCTGCGCTAGGTCTGCTCGTTTGTCATGCCAGCAGCACCCAGAACGGATACCGCGGAGGGTGCGGTGGATCCTGGCTCGTGGAGAAACGGAGGCTCCCACGCGAAACAAAGGAGTAGTGGAGCAGGTAAGGAAAGAAGCCACGAAGCGTAGCATTACCACCGTCAATGCTGATTGCTACTCAGTTTGCTGTGTAGGATCTCTGATTCCGTCCAAAGGGGGCTTCAAGGCGCCTATAAAAACCCTAGTGCAAAAGGCACGCTCAAAAAGACAATAGATGCAAACTGACTCGGAGTCAGCTGGTAGCTGTCGCTCTACACATGATGTGACATAGTAAGATCTTCCATCGCTCAACACTTCTGCTCGTCCAGAACCTCTTACTACTACAAACAATGTTCGCTACTAGCGGCTCCTGGCCTTACTACTAGGAACAAGGAGCTACTACTAACAAGTGCATTGCTACTAGTAACAAGTGCATCGCTACCAGGAGCAAGTGCCTTACTAGTAGTAACACTGAAAAAGCACAACGGCTAACTCCCTTTTCCTACCGCTCTCGGGCCGCGACGGGCTGTCGGAATCACACCTGCCCCCTATGGAGCAGATGCCCGACGCCGCCGGTAGGTACGCTTTCGTACCGCGGCGTCTGCTCGGAGGCGTTTTGCCTCCTCAGTGTCCTTGAGCGCCCACATGCCGTCCTCCATGACCGTGACCAGCTTCTGGTTTCCCACCAACTTTGTGAGGTCGTCCGCTAGGATCTCTTCTCCTGGAACCCACCGCACCATCCGAGACCCTCCGTCCTCATGAAGTGCTTGTCTCATCGAAGCCACATCAATGGCTAGTCGCTTGTCTTCTCCGAGCGATGTGCCATTGAGCAAATCGTAGCCGGTCTTGGAGTCCATCACGGCCACCTGGCGCCACCTTGACACCGACTGGAGCCAGGTCTTCAGGGAGAAATTCTTCTCCAGGGCCTCAGCCATCAAAGCCCTCAAGAAGTCAGCCTCCTCCATGGCCATCGCTGCCTGCGACACTTCCGCCGCCAGAGATGAGCGCACCACTCGTTTCAGCAAACCTGAGTGGAAGGCCAGGATATTGACCGGAGCTTCTCCCTCGAGAACCTTAGGGTTGGCCACCAAAAGCGCCATGCCACCCTGGGATCGACCCTTGGGCATGCCTCCAAATGAAGCGTCAGACACTGCCAGCACAATCATGTCGTTGATGTGGCAACCCAAATGACGAAACACTTGATGATGGGGCTCCCTAGCTCTCTCCACCAAGATCTTCAGCTCTGAAAGGGCCGTTGGGTCATTGGTGCCATTCAGTTGCTGAATCCTCGAACACCCATACAGCAAATCGGCCCTCACCTGCCTCGCCAACCAGCTCAGCTGACCAATGATGGTCCCAATCCAGGCCTTCTCATTGGGCATCAGCGGCTGTCGACTCTGTGGATTGGACCTCGATGGTGGATCCTTCACCTTCTTCGAGTACTCGTTCATCTGTAAGGTGATCGAGTAGTCGTCGTTCTGCCTCTCCCACCGGCCACAGAACTTGGTGTCCTCCTTCGGGTGCACCCAATCACCAAAAGTAAACAGGGACTTGAGTTGCGGCCACAACTTCTGTTCAGCTTCTTCGCTTCCAATGAATCGGACATCATCCACATGGACTGCTAGCATCGCCCACACTTGCCCTTCAGGATCATAGAAAGCGAACACTCCTGGCGCCAATCGAAGCTCTTTGCCGCCAATGCTCATGATGTCCCTGCTAAATCGCTGGTACCAAAGTCGAGGACTCTCAGCTAACCCAAAGCCAGCCTTCTTCATACGAAAGACATCAGTACGTGCCCCAGGAGGCACTTTGGTCAGCAGGAACTCACGCACAAACAACGGGTAGTTCTTGGGTGACTGCACAAACACTCTCCGGCCCTCTGGAAGATAGTCACCCTGCAAGAACGCAGCGGAGATGTCGGCAAAGTACATGCGCCAACGAAACTGGGCTGCCACAAAGCAAAGGAAGTTGTGGGCAACCAGACTAGCTGTTGGAGCATCGGTCGCATAGTCACCCGCCCTTTGATCTCGGTGTCCAGCAATCACCAATCGTGCTTTAAGCTTTGCCATAGCCAAGTCTTCATCTGTTGGATGTATATTCTTGGGATCAGCCTTGTTCACGAGAACAAATCGACTTGGCAGCACTTCGGATGCACGCACTTCCTCTTCTGGCATCACCGGAGCGAGGGCATCATGATCGAAGTATATCTGCAAAGCGTCGAGAATCGGCTGCTCAAATGCCTTCTGCCAAGCCATTGACAGCTGTGTCCATTGCAACTCCAGCCGCATTTTGCCAGTCTCTGGTTTCTCCACATCAGCTTCCGGAACCAGTAGGAGTTGCTCAGCGGTGCACAACTCAGTCAAACCACGATGGTCGGGATGAGCGGTTGCAGCAGCCAGTGCAGCCGTGGTCTGAAAAGCCTGAAAGCACTCTAGCACATCCAAGGCTACCTCCAACCGATGAGATTGGTCAGCATGTAGTCCATCGGCCGTGTCAATGAAGTTGGCCGCATGCCCTTCAGCCACCAACACCTGGTAAGCGGCATTTGCTTTGAGATGTCTCCTCCACAAATCTTCCGCAGCAGCTCTTCCTTGATTCCATGTGGCCAGGATAGGGTGGTCCTTCACGGGATCCATAGTGACGAACCGAGTGACGCCTCGCCACAATTGATTCATGTGCACCGAAGCGTTCCAGCCCTTCCAGAAGATGTTGTCCACCAAGTACTCCTTGGACGCCTGGGGCGACAGGTACCCCACCTGAGTCGCCCGTAGCCCTTGTAGTCCAGGTACTTCAGAAGGAACACATTGTGCATCTTGTGGGTGGTCTTCATCAGGGATCACGCCCGGCACAAAGAGATACTGCCGAGGTTGAAGGTGCACTCGCCATAGCTCTCGCTGCGAAGGCGCATGTAGCCAATAGTCAGACTCACCGCTCAATCGTAGCAACATCTCACCCGGCAAATTCGCTTCCATATAGTCACTGAGTTCATCTAATACTTGAGCACGTCCGGGCGCCTTCTTGTAAACCTCGATGATCTCGGTGCGAGTGAGAGGTCGTCTAAGCCTCCCGGGAACATCTCCCAGCATGCGCCACTTGGCCGCCGGCACTTTGGCCCTAATGCATGGTGTTGGATTTCTCCGCCGGATACCAATCCTCCTCTCACCGTCAGGTCGCCAGTCAGCCTCCAGCACGTCATAGTCCACATTGATCGGGCGGCACTCCCTCAACATGTCCACCACGTACATATCATGCGAGACTTCATGAGGGTTGCCCTGGTCATCATAGACATTGGGTACCGCAAACATGTCAACCTCAATGAATGGCGAGTCCATTGACGGTGAAGTCTCATTGGTGTCCTCCGAAAACGGGCTATAGCAGGGGTCTGCACTGTTCGGCACCTCCGACTCGCCCCCTTCTTCAACAAGCTCACAATCCCGGACAGGCACGACCACCATGGCCTCCTTTTTCTCAAGCTTCGTCTTCATCTTCTTCAGGTGTTCTTGGGTCGACTTAAATGCAGTCTCGTAGAAATCTCGCTTCTGCCTGACTGATGTCAAAGCTGGATCGACTGCCGAAGACGAAGCCACCGTAGCCCTGATAGACGAAGCTTCCGCATCCAGCTTGCGCCTCGTCGATCTATCCGCTTGCCCTTGATCTGCTTTCTGTTTGATCTTCTGCGCCACCGAGATGGGCATGTCATCTAACACCGAAGTGGCACGGTGGAGATCCTCTACTCTCACGGGCTTGTCCTCGGCCGGTTGTTCATCATCACTGAACTCCATAGGCGGGTACCGGGGATCAGGATCAACAGGTGCTGGCAAGGGTACCGGCTCATCTTCAGGCACAATGTCTGCATTCACCCTGCCCGACTGGAGCTTCTTCATCAGGTCTTGTAGAGCTTCCTTGGTCACCTCCGTGGACTCAATCTCATCTCCAGTTGCCAATCGAACATGCTCTAAAGGTAGTCCACGAAGCTTGTGCCTGTACCTAATCCACACCCGCTTGATCGCCCCGTCGAACCTTTCCACGGCCACCACCACGGCTGGTCCCACCCAAGATACTTGGTCCTGCAATCGACGGGCCAGTCCACGACGACTCACAGGCGGCTCGTAGAACATGACCATCGAGCCCTCCACCATCAGTTCTAACCGAGGTAGCCTCGCCTTCGATCCCGCAGCCTTCTTCAATGCGTCGCTCGCCTCCAACCACTGGTACGCCTCCGTGGCCGCTCGTCTGATCGAGCTCGCCCGATGGATCGCTTCATCCATGGTCTGAGGGTTGGCTACCTGGAACTTGAACTGGCCGGCAATGGCCTCCATCAGGTTGCCCGGCAGGCTCATCTCCTTGCCGAAAATCAGCTGCACAGGCGAGAATCCTGCTACTCGGGCTTGTAGGTTTCGAGATGCCACTGCCGATGCCACTGCTGTCTGCACCTCCTCCAGACCTATGACAGTCTTCTCCTTGATGATCTTCATGACCAGCAGTTTCAAGACGGACCCATGCCTCTCTGCCAGTCCCATCCGCCAGGAGGCGCTTGGCGGCACCATGTCGTGGTAGATGCTGAAGGTCCGGAGAAGGTTTTCCACCAGACCCTGAAATTCTGGCCCCTGGTCCGTCATTAGCACATTCGGTGCGCCGAAGGCCCTAATCCAACCATCCCTCAGCAGAGACAAAGTGCTTTGGGCCGATGCATCCACCGTTGCAATCGCCATCTGGTAAAGCGAGAAAGCGTCCAGGACGTGAGTGACCGCAAACTTGGTCGCCTTAGCATCCCAGACATAGAAGGTGTCTGCACATACACGGACATTGAAGGACATGGGCCGTGTATAGGCCGCTTTCGGAGTGGTGTGTGGTGCCACCACCTGTTTGCAGATCTGGCAGTCCAGGTCCTTGATGGCCTGCAAAACCACCGGCTTTGCCCCATTTTGTGACATCATCCTGGCCAGCTTGTCATTGCTGATGTGGCCCAGCGCCACATGCAGGTGAGCCAGCGTGGATCGCACCTTTCTGCTGAGTCCATTTGAAGCCCCC